AACACTCTTGAGAGCCTTTATTAGGACTTATTTAGTGGCGATATGGGCGGCAAAATGCTCGCATTTTTCCGCACTTATTGCATCTGCAGATTCTCGTCCAGCCGCCCTTTTTAGGGGGACTCACTCGCTCCTTAATGTAGGGGGAGCGGAGGAGCCCTTGCAGGGTAGAGCTGAGGAGTTTGTGCAGTTTCTGTCGGATAAAGTTGCTCAGATTCGGATGGACCTGGACTCTGATTGGGCAATACCGACAAAGATGACGGGGCAGGTCTTAGTCCTATTGTGTGGGATGAGTTTGAGCCAGTGACTCCTGAGGAAGTGGCCAAGGCTGTAGGTGCGATGAGTTCCTCCACTTGTTTGTTGGACCTGTGCCCCTCCTGGGTGGTTTTGGCCAGCAGGGAGGTGACATGAGGCTGGCTCCAGGCTTTAGTTAACACATCCTTGAGGGAGGGGTCCTTCCCACAACCATTAAAGGAGGCGGTTTTAAGGCCCCTCCTCAAGAAGCCTTCCCTGGATCCAGCAGAATTAAGAACTTTCGGCCAGTCTCCAACCTATCCTTCATGGGAAAAGTTGTAAAGAAAGTGGTGGCACTTCAGCTCCTGCGGTCATTGGATGAAACCGATTATCTAGACCCTTTTCAGTCTGGCTTCAGGCCTGGCTACAGCATGGAAACTGCCTTGGCCACACTGATGGATGATCTCTGGCAAGCCCGAGATGCGGGTCATTCCTCTATCTTGGTGCTACTTGACCTCTCAGCAGCTTTCGATACCATTGACTATGGTATCCTTCTGGGACGACTAAGGGAGTTGGGAGTAGGAGGCACCGTGTTATGGTGGTTCTCCTCCTATCTCTCTGGTCGGTCACAGTCGGTGTTGGTAGGAGGACAGAGGTTGACCCCTAGGCCCCTTGTTTGCAGAGTGCCTCAGGGCTTGGTCCTCTCTCCCCTCCTATTTAACATCTACATGAAACCGCTGGGTGAAATCATCTGATGATACCGGATGGGATATCAGCAATATGCTGATGACACCCAGTTGTATATCTCCACCCGCATCAGTTCAGTGATGCAGTGGATGTGATGTGCTGGTGCCTAGAGGCTGTGAGGGTCTAGATGGGAGTCAACAAGCTCAGACTTAACCCAGATAAGACCAAATGGCTGTGGGTATTGCCTCCTAAAGACTATGTCGATTGTCCATCTCTGGTCCTGGGGTGGGGATAAATTATCCCCCTCAGAATGGGCTCACAGTCTGGGTGTCCTTCTAGACTCACAGCTAAGATTAGAGCAACATCTGACAGCTGTGGCTAGGGGGACTTTTGCACAGGTTTGCCTGGTGCACCAACCGCGACCCTATTTAGATCAGGAGGCTCTCCTCATAGTCACTCATGCCCTTGTCACCTCACAGTTGGATTATTCCAACACGCTCTACATGGGGCTACCCTTGAAAAGTGTTTGGAGACTACAGTTGGTCCAGAATGCAGCCGCATGAGCTATTGTGGGTGCACCTAGATACACCTACATTACACCAATTCTCCACAACCTGCACTGGCTCCCTATTGGTCTCTGGACACAATTCAAGGTGTTGGTTATTACCTTTAAAGCTCTACATGGTTTAGGGCCAGGCTATCTTCGAGACTGCCTTCTACCGCATAGTTCCCAACAACTGGTAAAATCCCACAGAGTTGGTCTCCTCCAGGTCCCGTCAGCTAATCAATGTCGGCTGATGGGCCCGCAGGGAAGGGTCTTCTCTGTGGCTGCCCTGGCTCCCTGGAACCAATTACCTCCTGAGGTCCAGACCACTCCCACTCTATTGGCCTTCTGGAAAGCGATGAAGACCTGGCTTTTCTGGCAGGCCTGGGGCCATTGATCTCGCTGCTGCAATCTTGCAAGAACCGGCCATGAATGGAGTGTATGGGTTTTTAATGTTTTTTTTAAACAACTTTTATGGTCTATTGTTCGCATTATTTTTTGTTGTAAGCCGCCCAGAGTCCCCAGGGAGTTGGGAGGCATAAAAATGCAATCAATCAATCAATCAATCAATCAATCAATCAATCAATAAATAAATAAATATTATTTATATTATTTATATTATTTAACTATATTGTAAATATTATATGTGGCCCAAGATAATTCCTCTTCACTCAATGTGGCCCAGGAAAGCCAAAAGATTGGACTTCCAAAGAACATGAAAGCTGACTGGGTGTCTTTGGAGCAGTTAGTGTCTCATAGCCCACCTCACTTTTCAAAATTGTTGTGGAGAACGGAATATTATAAATGTTTGCGATTATAAATGTTTAGTTATTTATAAAAATAATAAAGCCAGAATTAAAAATAATCTAATAAATAACAGACTGTTTGCCCGAATAACTGGAATTCTTTAATAATCAAAAGATTTTAGCAATGGGTTATGAATCTATTATTTCAAAGATTTTCCTTCATCAAATTATTTAATATCAGCTTTAGATCAGATGGTGACCACCAACCTATGGTTTTAAGTTTGCTAACTAATGATTAAAAATCTTAGTCTGAACCAGTCTTATTCCATGGACATTAATCATGAAAACAAATTACTATGGCTGTTAAAGCTATGTTTTTAATAACACATCAGTGAGTTGTGATTTTAGGTGTATTATATAACATTTATTAAATAATTTACCTCTCTTATTCAATACCAAATTTTAGAATATATTTGAAAATTTTGGCTGTGAAAAAATTGAAATAATAATTTAAAAAATATTATAGGTTTTGAAGCTATAATTGCAAAGATTTGAATGTTTATTAAAGTAAACTATGAATAAAAGCCAGTGTAACAGGGAGGTTATTTGGGAAGTAAGCTTATATCTATTGATGTAGCCAGTAAGTAATTTTTTTCTGAGTTTATTTATTATATTTGTATGGCTTGCCAATTCCAAATAATTATGTGAGGTGAACAATAATAGAAAAAGAATATGAGAAAACAATAGTTAAAAACCGAAGAATCCACAAGTGACTTTATGCACATATAATGATCCAAAGGAACCCTGCACTCATCCAAGCCCAAGGCCTAGGAGTAAAGTCAGATCTTCAAGGCTCACATGAAAGGAGAACAAAATAGAAATTGTTCAAATCACCAAGGAAAGCTATTTCAGAGGATCAGTCCTAAATCAGAGAAGGCACACTTCTGGGAATCCATCATATGACACTTGTTAATGGTTGGGACTAAAGATGCCAACTTCATGTGAAGGGTTAAGGTGGCAGAACCATGGTTGAACAACAAATCATGCTGCTATATAGGATTTTATGTATAAGGTTGTGGTTAAAGCACCAGAATAGAAACCAGGAGATTATGAGTTATATTGTTTCTTTAGGCATGATAGCCAGTGGGGTGAATTTGGGCCAGTCGTGCTCGCCAACAATCTGCTTCTCAGGCTTGTTGTTCTGTAGAAACTAGGAGGAGTAAGGATATATTTGGTATATTTTCTATCTTGAGATATTTATAAAAATAATAATTTTGGATAAATGTAGAAAAGTGTTATATTTTGTACTTTAGAGAGTTTTATCCCTTGTTTTGTTGCTTTAAAAAGTAGCGGTGCTCACATTCACCATAAATTTGCTATTTCAGGGATCTGAAAGCAACTTAATATTTTTGTATGTTTTTCATACCTGCCTTATCCATTGTTCTGTGACTTTCATTGCAGATACATCCCTCAATTGTTCTCATTTGTTGAAGGGCATGTTGTTCCAACAAAGATTATTTAATTAAGATTATGAAGTCACTTTGCCAAGAAGCTAATGAGATTTGGCTATGTGATGACAACACTGTCTGTAAACAAAATGTTCTACATACTAGGCAGAGTAAGAGAAATGGGAACACATCCATTTTCCCCTTTCACACATACCAGGGCAGTTATTCTTTTGAAAAGCATCACACAGACATTTTAATGCAGCTCCAGTTATCTGCATTTATGTAATTATTAGATGGAGAGGAAAGTGAATAGATATACTCTTGAGATGTGCATTCCTATTACTATCTAGTACTTATTTTTATTCATGATGTTCTTTGAATTATTCTCACATAATCCAAATTCCAAAGTGAAAGAATTTCTCCCAAGATTTTTCTAACTATATCATCTAACTAATAATAATAAACATTTCACAAGTGCCCTTTGCTTCTAATCTTATAATATCAAACTGCTGAAAGAACATTTGCAATTCATCCAGCAAAATTTATCTCTCTATTAATGTTAAATGTTTATTTAATATCCTAATGAAGAGTTCCTGATTATCTATCAGGAAATTACGCTTATTATCTAGCCATCACAATTAGGGATATAAAGCAAAATTTAATCCAATAGTTTTCTGTTTCCAAATATAATAAAGCATATATAGTTAGAGACAGAGGATTACCTGGAATTGCCTGAGAATATAATATTTTTGTGAAGAGAATAAAATATTTGACATATTTTATGTCAAGATTTAAACAAATCTAGTCTTTTTTTTACAATCTAGACTATATTTTTCACGGCATCATAAGTATAGGCCATAATGAATGAAATTTCCAGAAGTCATAGATCAACACTTTTATAGAAAAAATGAGTCCGCAGAACTACATCAAATGATGTCTATAGAGTAATAAATAAAGTAGAAAAATCTAATTCAGTTATTCTTCTAAATTTGGAGATACCAAAAATTAGGACCTTTTTTTCCCTGTCTTTCTCTTTCTCTTTCTCTTTCTCTCTCTCTCTCTCTCTCTCTCTCTCTCTCTCTCTCTCTGTCTTTCTTTCTGTCTCTCCCCCCCTCTCTCTCCTTTCTTTCTTTCTTTCTTTCTTTCTTTCTTTCTTTCTTTCTTTCTTTCATTTGAAGTTACAAAACTATTTTCAAATACATGTTTTGTGTATGGAAAATTGTTAGTTGGGGTTAATTTATGTATATCTTCTTCTTCTTCTTCTTGTTTTCTCTCTCTCTCTCTCTCTCTCTCTCTCTCTCTTCTCTCTCTTATACTTTTCTTTAATCTTTCACCAACATTCAGAATCTTTGGCCATCTCAATCTCCGTTCTGAATGGCAACTAGTAAAAGTGGATTATAAATCTATCTTTAGCAGAAGATGTACCAAGGATGATTTCCAGTCATGGCATTTACACAACCAGGTAGGAATACATGAATTACTGTATGTTTCTGTGTCCCAGATGAACTCCTATTCCTAGCTGCAAATGTTATTATAAATTAATGAATGTAAATTACAGGATTTAGTTAGATTGAAAGATGAGAAACAATGCAAATCTGAATATGATACTATAAAAATAACTATGGCCACTCACAAAATGTCAGACAAATAATTGCTTTAGTTATCTGAGTGGACTGATATGGTCAGAAAAACAAAGTTATGAGTGACAGAATTTCAGAAGTAGCCACATAAATTAAATGGAACTACAGGGAAGAAGGATAATAATGGGGGAGGGGGTTGGTTTCTGCATTTAACTTATAGCCAAATTGTAGACAAATGTAGATGATCTTGGGGAAGGAAAGAATGAGCCATTAAGGGGAGACTTGCCATAAATATTACTTAGAAAAATGGAACTGTGATAAAGAAATTCAAAACAATATTGCTATTTCTCATTGTGGGCTACTGTGAAGGACTGACAATAGGAAAAATTTCATCAGAAAATAAATAGAGTGCTTTCCTATTATTCTTGTATTTCATTATACTTTCAATTCCCACATAATTGTACTTGGTTCTTATTTCTATAATAATGATAGCTTCTTTATAGTAAGAAGCTCTAGTATGGAAAATTAAGCATCTGTGCACCTTGTATAATGAACCTGCACACAAGAGTACATGTTATTCCAACTCAGTATTCTTTTGCATTGAAGGGCGAACCTTGTGTCATGGGAGAAAGGAAGATCTATAAGAAACGTAAATCAGGGGCATGGTGCGCATTATCTAGAGATTACTCAAGAACAGTGGTTTCAGAACCATGCATCTGTGCTGAGTGGGACTTTGAATGGTAAGATTTATCAATTAAACATATTTGTGTGCCACCACAATCCAAAGAGAGTCTCAGCAGTTTAAATAAAATGAAGTCAAACTAAAATAAAAATAAAATAAAATATCCACAGTAGGAATAACACAATTACCAACTTATTTAAAATGTATAGCAATAAATGTAAATAAGTTAAATAAAACTAAACATTGTAATATTCATATCAGAAGAAAACTTTCTGAAACAATTGAATTTTTAAAAGCATCTAAACAGGCAAGAAAGACAGAACCAGTCTGATCTCACAATGGGGCTATTTTGCAATGTTCACTCTGCCACAGAGAAGCCCACCATCTTACCTCAGACCCTAATCAAAGAGTAGGATTTACAGCAGTTTCTCCATGAGAGATCAAATTAGTTAGGCCAATTATTGATGGAGTAGATGATCCTGGAGGTACCCAGGTACCAAGCCATAAACAATTTATAGGTCAACACCAGTACCTTAAAAATTAGATCCAGAAACCAATTCACATCCAATACAGGGTCTGCAAAAATTGTGCTTTCAGTGCTGGAAGCCCCAAAGAATATGAACTACTGCATTTTGGATCAATTGTACTTTCCAAATATTCTTTAAGGGGAGCACCAAATAAAGCACATTACAGTAGCCTGACTAGACTGTAATTAAGACATGAGTAACCTTAGCCAGCTTCTATATTATAAACTTTTATTATAATCCTTTTATTTTACATGCTTGGCATCAAACTGCTCTTCTTAGCACAAAAATACTATGCAGCAAAGAATGTAGATAACCCTGTTCCAATTGAGTTTTCAACTGTGATTTATTCTCCCTCAGATTGGACTTTGCAAAATAAGTCAGTGAATTGTTTTCTTTGGTGTATTGTATCAGAAGGTTGTCCGTTACTACTTGTTTCCTTTTTCATAGAAATGCTTTCACAGATTTTTCCCCAGTCTGAATACATTCTACCATTAATTGGCAAAATAAGTTACATTTTATACTCGAAAAGAAATCTTAATTACTCCCTTCTGCCTCTCCAAAGTCTACAAAATAGTATCTTCTCAATATCCACTTCTCTCTTGAGGAGTGAGTTGGAGGAGAAAATAACTTCTAAATGATCGTACAATTACATAACATCAGAAAATAATCCAGATTTTATTTTCAAGCTTCACAGAAAAATGAATCATGAAATCTTTCTACACTTCTTGCATGAAGTTTTCATTTTCCCTTTAGTACTTTATTTACCCTTGTCAGGGAAGCTTTTTCCAATAAGTTGAAGCAGCAGCTGGACTCAGTAATTTTTAACATACAAACCCCAGGGCTTTCAAGTGCGAAGGTGGGCAGTATGTGAGTTTTTAATATACATTTACCAGAAGTTAATGAACAAGTCTGCAGCCTTCAGGGCCTTCAGTTATGTTGTCGTTAATATTATTTAATATTAATGCAGCTCTTCCCTTCTTTGAGGCAACATGTGACCCCCTCATGAACAATTTTAATTACTAAGTTACTACAAGGCATACTTAAAATGTGCAAGGGTGACCTACTGAGAATGATTAAATTGAACATCAAAAAACCAAAGCATTAAAAGCAGTCCAGAAATTTAACAATTATTTTAATTGCAATGTCTATCATGGTTCAATACCTGTGTGAGATAATCCATGATCCTTTGTTAGTTTCTTGCCATCAGTGGAAGGACTGTTATGAAAAACTGATCTGATTTAATCCTTCTCCAAATACTTTGCATAATTATTGATAATGCATCAATATTGTTCTATTCATGAAGTAGTTGTGGATTACCCATTTACAGAATAGGTCCAATGACTATTTCACTGAATATTTTTAGATAGAAATGTATTCATTTATTTAGGTCTCAGAGTTCACAGATGTAAAATTACAACATAATAATCACCATTACCATCCATCAGTAAATGGCAAAAAGCACAAACAGAAAAAAATTACAAAATCAATCCAAAAATAACTAGAAAGTGGATTTAAAAACACCACTTCTTTAGGTCATTTAAAAATATATAGTTCATATAAATTTCAGACAGACCTTTTACATAGATACAGCAGATTCTCTGAATATGACAACTCAAAAAATAGCAACTAAGTTCATAGACCCAATTACTTCTCTCTCTTTTTCTGTCTCTCCTCTCTCATTCTCTCTCTTTCTCTGTCACACAAACACATGCATGCACATGAGTGCACATGGAGAGAGAGAGAGAGAGAGAGAGAGAGAGAGAGAGAGAGAGAGAGAGAAGAACAAATTTACTTAGTATTAGTGCTTTGCTAAAAAGAATTATATTTCTGCTATCATTTCTCATTAAATGTGATGTAAGAAAAATTCCTTTCAAAATTCCTTTGAAAGGATAAGACATTATTTGGGGAAGTGTATGATGCTGTTATAGCCATTTAGCGTATCTATTACTGCATTTATAGTGTCTTTTCTCAGAGAACTTTTTCTCTGAGAATTCAGTATTGTTACTTGGGGTTTTCTCAATTGTTTCTCTCCACAAAAACAACCCAATGAATCCAGTTTGGTGGTGGTGATGGTAGGTGGGGTGGAGAGAGAGATCCAGAATTCCTATGAATTCTGTGAATGAGTAAAAACATCCAATCTGGGATAAAAATAGAAAAAAATCCTATTCCCTACCCTGCTGTAATGATGGCTTCTTCCTGTTAATAGTAAACATACCAAGATATTATCAGGCTTGTATGAGGCAGCTTGGATTCAGTGTGACAAAGAGCTTTGCACTCATAGCCATCTTATAGCCTCCTCCATTACTTGCAAAAGCTGGATTAAGGTTCTAGGTATCTGCAATACCTGGGAAGATGTCCCAGGATCTGCAGGTGCAGGAACAAGCTGCAAAAGAGCTAGGGGAACAGCATCCAGTTGTTGGTTTGCTGCTATATATAAGGTCTCACATTGCTTTGGAAAGCACCTGTGCATTGTTTATTCACTCAATCCTTCATGAATTGTGTTGAAGATCTGCTTAGTCTTCAACATGTCATGAAAAAGTGTATAATATACCATGTGTAGTTAACCGACTACTCCATCTTGAAGAAAATATTGCAAATAGTATGTCTTTTTTTTTTTTTTTTTTTTTTTTTAGGGAATGTCATTTGATACTACTATGGCTGCAATTCTTGAAGCATCAGATTTTAGTTTAAATGTTATCAGTATTTTGAATGATTCTAGTTAGAAACACTAGACAGCAGTTAATGGTTAGAACTTGGTTTCTTTTTAAAATATTTGCCTGTTCTAACTATCTCCCTTAACAGAAGTAGAATTTTTGGTAGGATGGAACAAAATCCATAGACAAATGTAAATGAGGAAATAGGATGGAAGCATATTCCCTATTCCTTCCTTTCTTACCTGTGCACTATTTCTGTACATCTGTCTTAGACATATTATGTGTTTCCTCTCACATTAGATATGGACACAGAAGTCTTGATGCTAATCCCTGCTGAACTAACAAACTCATGCCATAGCGTTTGGCAAGTCTTTTCTTAATCCCACTTCACAAAGTTCTTGTGAGAACAACAATCTTTATGTATTTCTCTTTTATCTGTGGTAGGAAGATGAGATAAATGTATATGTATTTTTAAAATTATTTTATTAGTGACTATGGTTATGAAAGACACAGTAATAATCAGTGCATCCCAGCATTCTGGTTCAACCCATCTTCTTGGATGAAAGAATGTAGTCTTGGCCAGAGCTACTTGAACAGCACTGGGTAAGTAGAAACTTCCTTTGATATATGCCTCTTTTCCAGATCTTACAGCTGGTATTTAGTCTATCTTTTGCAGAAATCCTGCAAATAATAAAAAAAGGATGAGAATTAAATAGATTCATTCAGATTCTAGTTGTGGGCTGCATTTTGCCTTTAAGTATGATATTGGAGAATATAGGTCAAAAGAAAGACGAGGGCAAGATAAAAAGCAAGACCAAGACCCAGAATAAATTTGTTTTACTTTAGGTTATATTTCAATTTAATTTTAATTAAATTAAATTATTAACATGATTTATCCCATGTAATTAATATTTATCCCTCCTGTCACATTAAAATTACAATTCAAGAAGCCTTTTATAGAGCTACTGGTACTGGCATCTTAATTTCCTGGGGACTACATGCAACTTCAGGAGATGGAAATTGCACGATTTTGACATAAATGATGCTAGAGAAAGTAAAGCTAAATTAAATACATTCCAGATGGAAGTTAACGGCACCACACAATAGGGTCATACAAGCAAAAATAAGAAAGATCTGTTTAGAAACTATTTTTTTTATATCTGTTTATTTTAAGATACATAACATAAATATGTGAGGTAGAATTCTTTTATTTAAGAATTGTTTCAAAATCATTCCTTTCTTTATAAAAAGGACATATGCCAACTTTGTCTGTATTCTATTCAGAGGGCATAGAGGAACAGATTCATACTGTGGCTCCACTGTTATGCTATTTCAGCTTTGTGCTAAATTTCCAATGGGCCATAAATCTTAAACACTTACTGCTTTACTGAATGCTTTACTGCAAATGAGCAGACCAGCGTTATTGCCCAATACTGATAGACCACTTATTAAATTTGCTGGCTACTGATGGCTTTCACCATTCCACAGAGGATGTAAAATGTTGACATCCATTATTCATATAGTGAGTAGATATGAGTTGGAGCACATAGTTAGAACAGGGCTGTCATTGGAACACAAAAGGAATCCCCATGTTATGAAAGCCCCCCTCCCCATCTCCCTAATTTGTCTGCTTTATAGAAATCCAAAGCCATCCATACAGAGCTTCTGTGTTCAGCTTTTTAGGAAGACATAAGCAGAAAGATGGTATAGAAGGAAAATCAGGAACCAGACTGCAGGCATTTACCTGCATCAGTCTCAAATAGCCAATAAATGCCTTTATGATTCCACTCATCATTTGATTTTGCTTCTAGCATTATGACTGGTGAAGCATAACATTGGATGCTGTCAGCTAAAAGGGAAAATACTCTTTTAATACCAGTTAACCTAAGAATAAGTTACATCTGTTTTACCATGATTAGGATCAAGATGAGGGCAACCTCATGGAGATGCAAAATAAAATAGATGCATGTTTGTCCCAGATTTAGTTCAAATGGAGTTTTTAAAAACGTTAAGGGAAATCCTGTGGATTTTACTCTGCTAGTTATTGCTGGCTATAGGGGATGGTGATGCTCACCTTCATTTCAAAGCCATTGAGCCAGGGCTGTCTGAAGACATTTCCACAGTCATATGGCCAACATGATGTCACTGATTTAGTTCAAATGGAGTCACACTGGTGTAAGTATAACTTTTCTAGAACTACAGCAATGTAAAAGTAACACTTCACTAAAAATGTGGTGAGATGACATCATAACAAGGGAATAAGGGACATGAAAATAGGTAAATATGCAATGAACTGCAGCTTAATGAATTTTGCTACTTGAATAGCATCTTCAAATTATTTTTCAGATGTTTGATATGGATGTTTGCAAATAATAAAGGTTTTCTTTCCATTTCTTCAACTGAATACATAAACTATGAAACTTGAGATTTGTGAAATTTTAAAATATGAAATTATAAAATTCCACAGGTATCGGAGGATTGTTTCTAATAACTGCACAGATGGTTTGCAAGAAAAATATGCAGCCAAGCCTGAACAGTGTCCAGGCAAAGCTCCCCGTGGGTTACATATTCTCACATCCACTGGCAAGTTGGTTACAGAACAAGGCTACAACACTACCTTCATAATTCTTATGGAAGAGGTAAGCTAATGCCGAATATTAATAATGGCATATCCATTATAAAATAATTGTTCTAGTGCAAGGGCTCTTCCATTTTTGAAAACATTTTTCATCACCACAAAGATGAAACCAAACTATAAGAATACAACTTTTAATGGATGTCCCTTTTATCAATGTGTAGATGTTTATTGGCAACACAACTCAGGTGGGTGGGTAAATGTACTGTATATAGAAAAGAAAGCAGCAAAATAAACCCAGAAGTTGCTTAATGCCTTTTGCAATAGAACTGCTGATTTGAAAGTTCAAAATATAACTTCTAATTTAAATTAAGAGAATATCAGCAGCAGCTATTCTATTAATGCAATGTTTCTTCTCTATATCCATCTATGGTGCAAAACTTTGTATGAATGTTTCTATGTAGGAATTCAGAAAAGAGCAGATGCCATATACAAATTAGAAAGCCAGTAGCTGTTTATTAAAGACTTTCACACATAATGAACAAAACACAAAAAAGGTGAGGCAAACAGGTGAGGCAAACAAAACAGATGAACAAGGATGGATAGAAAGCTGAGGCATGGATTGTGTCTGAGGAAACTGCAGAGTAAAGGAGACAGGAATACGGCTTCAATTGCTTTTAGTGTTCTTTGCTGGAATAGGCATATCATGAATGGCTTTAAGATTGGTTTCCCCCCATAAGTTAGAGCCGTGATGGTGAACCTATGGCATGCATGCCAGAGATGACATGCAGAGCCCTCTCTGTGTGCATGCGTGCCGGCCACCTGGTCTTCAGGTTTTCAGTGCTCTGGCGTGCACCTGTACATGCGCGCACACATGTTCCAGTTTGGGCACTCGGTGCCAAAAAGGTTTGCCATCACTGACTTGGAGCATCTTCTACAGTCATTTTATGCTGAATTTACAACCATGATGATATAATTTATTTTGTCTTAATGATAGCTGATGTGTAGAGTTACGTCACCAGGGAGGAAATGGCCTTATTTTCTCAAATTCGGTGTCTCCTATCAAAACAGTGCCTGCTCCCCTGTGTGCTGCACGGATTATTGCACTCTGCTGCTTGTTCATTTGCTTGTTTTATTTTAAAAAGGGTTTTGTTTGCGTTTATTTTCTTGTAAAAGTGAATTCAGCTATTAGAAGATTGAGGTTGATTTATTGTCAACTGTCTGCTTTAATTTTAGAAACAAACTACTCAGTAAAGAGACTGCTTCTGTATGGTTTGTAATGCTAAGAAAATGGCAATTGGAATTAGGAATTTGGCTTGCGGGAAGTCTGGATTGACACATCTCTTACTCCTATCTCCTGGACATTCATTGCTATTTGCTCCAGGAACAAACCTGCTATTATGTGCCAGAGTGCCTGGGTATTTGCCTGTTCCATCAAGTCAGATAAGAAGACATGTTCCAGGTTCCTTCTCTCAAATGTTATCATCTAGCAGGACCTAGGAAGTGTGCCTTTTTTAAAAACAACCTCAGCCTCTGGATTATCTTTGTTCCTGGGACTCTGTAAGGCTCCACACCTTTAGTCTTTCAGAAAGCCATGAAGAACTGGGTTTTCCTCCAAAATAGGGAATAGAATCTGGGGACTGTATTGTTGGTTGTATGGGTAGTCCTTAAATTATGACAGCAATTGGAATCAAAATTGCCATTACTAAGCAGCACAGTAATAAAATGTGATGTCACATGACTCCTCCACTTACTGACGTATTCTGATATTCCCTGTTGTTGTTGTTAAGCATGGGTGTTAAGTAAGCACCTCAAGTAGCCATGACATTCAAATTCCAGCTGGCTTCCCCATTGACTGTGGGAAGCCAGCAGAGAACATCATGGAAGTCATGGTCATGTGACTGCAGGAGGCTAGGATGTAATATGAGCCTGATGCTAAGCACTTTTAATGGTGATCATGTGATCATAGGGAAGCTTCTACAATTGGAACTCTGAGCACCGGTCATAATTCCCTTTGTTCAGTGTATCCATAAGTTTGAATGGTCATTGAATGATTGGGTGTAAGCTGAGGTCTATTGATACTGAAGAATATTTGTTGAGGCACCAGGTTTTGGTTTTATTATTATTGTTATTACATTCATGTTGATTGACCTCAGGTTTATGTAGGAAGCATCCTGTCAAAAATAATTCTGAAAACTCCAGACAAATTGATATGCCACCTTGTCTTATTAAGCCCCAGAAACAAGCATGAGTCAAAAGTTGTGGCACATTAGCTAATGTAATTATGTCTTTGTTGGAGTGTGTGTGTAAATTATGGATACAGGTTGAATATTAGCACGGAAGTGGGGAGAAACAAATCAACTATTCATACACACATAATAAGCTCCAATACCTTTCAGCATTGTATCGGTAAATAAAACACCTACAAAATTATACCAGGTTTGTAAGTTTGTAACTCTTGAAGCCTAGCTCTGAAAATGAGTATATATTGACTAATCTCATAAATGTCTAAATGGAAAATTACTGTAAAGTAGTTTTTATAATAAGTAGCCATTTCTCTTTAATATATAGAAATAACAGCATTTATATTCATATGGGTAAATCATTATTTTTATATTTTATGAATTGCTTATTAAAGCTGTGCAGGTACATGGGGGAAATGCTTGTGAATTATTAAAGGCTTGGCTCCTATATTGAATGTCTACATCATTGGGTTTACGCTTTTAAGGTGCTTATTTATTACACAGGGCTGCTACCCTTTTGATTTTCCATTGTGCCTTGTAAGTAACACAGCTTTGTCTCATACTAGCTATCTGGTTTCAACTACATTCAGTTTCTAGACTTTGTGGCATACATTATCACATTCCCAATTGATATTTTATATGACCTACACCATCTAAAATAGGGGTCTGTTGAATATATCCAGAGAATTGTGATAGTTATCCATTTGAAATGTCTCCACTTCATTTCCATTGCAATTTATATTCATAAACCTGGGACAGCTGACATAGCATGTGTGGTGAATGATACACGTTTTACTATTTTATATACTGGAAACATAGTTAAAGAAAAGGGATTAGGAGATCACTGCAATGCGGAAAAAGCTAGTGAAAAGATGAAATAAATACTGTCACTATTTAGATATGAGGACACAATTCTTTTGTGTTTAAACACAAAAATGCCACAGAAAAATGGTATGGTGAGTAGAACATTCTCCAGTTTAAATTAATAATTCACAATAATCTCCCTGACTTTACTTAAAAAAATAAACTGTTGTCAAGAATATAATTCTTGACTTACTGATTGAAGAGAGGCATTTCATTTAATTTCTAGGAGATTTATTTAAAACTTCTGGTTTAAAAAGATAATCAAAGAATAGTGGAAACTCCTTTAGGACCCTTTGATCTTTCTCAGGTTCTTTTGGTCAGAGTTTTCTGTATTTTAAAGACTGTATTTCATCGAAGGAAACACCATCATTCATGCTGGGCTGAAAAAGTAGTGGTTAGTTTCTGTTATGGCTATGAGGAAATCACCTTTGCCTGTTATTATACAGCAATGAAAAGGTACCTTAGACTTATGCTTTCCCAGAACTCTGATAATTCTTCAAGCTGTGATAGTAAATCTTATCACTACCCTTGTGGGCTTGGGGTTGTTGAATTTGTATTTCAGCAACCTTTGGAGGACCCCCATATTCAGTGTTCCTAGATAAGATAAGAGGGAAAGATGCTTAGGCTGTTCTTGGCATTTCTTCTTTTGGCTGGCAGTTAGCCTCTAGTGTGAAAACACATAATCTAAGCTACAGCAGTTCCAATCTTGAACTCCAGTCTTCTCAACTGTCCAGCATATAATACTTCTGTCTTCTTGATAGCTTCATTTCTTCTTCTGAAGATGTAGACAATTTAGGGACTTGGAAAAAAGTTTAAAAGCACAATTCACTTTTTAACAGGCCTAACCACTACCTAATAAATGCAAGGGTAAAAGTCATGAAGTAAATAAGGCTAAGTTATGTAAGGTCTAAATGCCTTTAACAGAGAAGCACCTTTGGTGCTACTATGCATATTAGCTTACTGCATTTACCAAATGACAATAGATTTATTATACAGAAACTAAATGGTCACTTATGCATCACTGCTTTTCTCAAAAGACCAACAAGCCACATATATAGTATGGTATAATATACTTCTCCATAAAGGGGAAGAGTAACAGGCTTGTGCATCTGTTCAACTTGCTATTGTTGGATAATTTCAAAGTCCCAGCTTTCTCCTAGTTCTTTATCCTAAAATCAGGCTTAGGCTGGGCTTCAAATAGCAGCTGCAAGTAGGGGATTGTCCTTATTAAAGAAAGCCAGAACACTAGGCTGATCAGTCCTGACACCATTAGAACATTTGCTCCAACACATCTCTTCCATTAGAGAATAAATTGCCTTGTTACTTTCTCTTATTTTTTCATCCCTGTTATATATTTACACCTAATAAATTCAATCATTTAAAACCAGTCTCTATATTACTGACAAATCAAAGGCCTTTCTTCTGCTTGCCAGAGATTACACTTTGATAGAAAAACCAAGATGATTATCTGATGCCAGCAGAGATATGGCAAAACTTAACTTTATATTGAAGTCATGTTGATTTTTTGCAATTCAAATATGGTAGTCAACATAATTGCCTAAACTTGATTAAAGAAAAAGAAATTTGAACTAGCAGTTCTTTCTCTCAACCTTGTTTTATATAATGCACCTTGAGATGTGAAATTATGAAACTGGGATGTTGCAACTAGTCTTTGCCTTCAAGCCCTGCTGGTCATCTCTATCCTCATATTTTTCCTTTTGATTGGCTAACAGCCAAGCCACTATTTTCTCATTATTGCCTACATCCATATTTCTGACTGGAGTTTTTGTTGTTGTTTTGGTAACTCACATATTTGGGAAAAAAACATGAATTATTTTAGGGATGAAGAACTCATAGTGTCAAATATAAGGGTAGCAGGGTAGTTGAAAAATTTATGAAGCAAATCCTTCTATTAATTTCCAGAACTTGTGTATTCTGCTATAGAAAGGGAATAGTATGTTTATCTTTGCACTTCTACTCTAGAAATTGATGAGAAAATGAAGCATGGATATAGTACAGATTTCATTCGGGGAGGGTCTGGAGTTTGCAGAATGTATTATATTACTTAGTATAACTGGTATATAACTTAGTATAAATTCCTCATAGAAGGATCTCCTGGAAAGAAAAGAAAATTTATTTTAACAGTTGTAATCCAACAGCTCAACTGGAATTTCATTCTCTCTTGCTAGTTGTATTGTTATTAGTGCTATTAGTCCCAAAGATGCTTTTTCAAGAGGCAACTGGACTTTCTGTTTTTTCTTTGAAGACATTTCGTTTCTCATCCAAAAATCTTCTTCAACTCAGACTGAAGATGGGTGGGGAATGGAAGAGTTATACTCCTTGCAGACAGCTGGTCATTTACATTCTTTTAGTGAGTCATTGAGGCCAGCTTTATCTGCATTGTCAGGGTCACCTGAGTAGTGCAAATAGATGTGGAGCCTTCTTGGAACTGTTGAAAGGACTGTGTAGTTTGTGTTGTAGACTGGAGATGGATGATGCCATATCCCTCTCCCTCTGTTAAGAAACGGCTGTTCAATTTTGACACAGATGGCCTCTTTAACCCGTGGCATCTTTCAAACCAGCAGTCCTCTCTGCCCAAAATGTGGATTTGGATGCTTCTTGGATGAGAAGTGGAACATATTCAAAGAAAAATCAGAAAATCTAGTTGCCTCTTGAAAAAGCACCTTTGGAACAACTATGACCTGGATGACTGAGAATCTCCATAGACAAAGTGTTATTAGTATTACTACTAGTAGTAGTATTACTACTATTATAACATTATGAATTAGTGCCTAAGAAATACTATTTTTAAAGATTCACAATTTACCTATAACTTGGAATTATACAATACACTGTACTATCTGAGAAATTTATTCATGCATACCTAGCCATTAGCATAGCAATAACATTTAGACTTATATACCACTTCACAGTGCTTTACAGCTCTCTCTAAGCAATTTACAGAGTCAACATATTGCCCCCAGTAATCTGGGTGCTCATTTTACCGATCTCGGAAGGATGGAAGGCTGAGTCAACCTTGAACCTGGTGAGATTTGAACTGCCAAATTGTAGGCAGACAACAGTCAGCAGAAGTAAACCCAAACTATATGGTGCAATCCCTACTCTCTCCTCTGTAGTATAAATGGACTTTTATTAGCCACATTAATAAACAACAGTATTCCTTTTTGCAGGGTGACCTCCAGAGGACAAATATCCAATTGGATTTTGGGGATGGTACTGCTGTATCCTATGCTAATTTCAGTCCTATAGAAGATGGAATCCGGCATGTTTATAAGAGCACTGGAATCTTCCATGTGACAGCTTATGCAGAAAATAACTTGGGTTCTGATTTGGCAGCACTTTTCCTCCATGTGGTTTGTAAGTAGATGGACTCTGAAAAGTGTCCTGGTTTGATTGAATGCAGAGCTCATAGCTCTGGAAGACTTGCCTCTTAAATCCAATTTCTATAATCTGATTACTTTACCATTTTAGCTCATTCACCTCTATATTTTTAAACATTGAAAAATTCAAATATTTCCTATTAATAGGGTGCTACTTGGACCTACTGGTACAAATGTTAATAGATTCTATTCCCGATAAGACAATTGCAGGAGCATGATAGATTTTCATACTGTTTTTCCAATTAGTTCCACATTTTTCTTGAATTCAAATAAAATATACAGTGTAAAGTTGCAAATATATACCATATTTAATGAAAAATTGAAAATATTAGAATTATTTTATAAATTTAAATTACTATTTATTCTAAGTAGAAGATCCTAAGAATAGTTTAAGAATATTTTTGTTATAATTACCTAATTGGATCTCAGTTTTAGTCATCTTTGTCATATTCAAGAGAAACATAAATTTGATGGTGTATTCTCAAAATTGCTATTCTTTTGTACTTTTAGAAGAAAACATGAGTAATTACCATATTTACCTGAGATGGAAAACATTCATATTTCAATTGGAGAATTCTTTCTTTATTACAAAAACAATGACCAAAATTTTGTCACATGAAAAATATCTGCATAGAAATTCAGCTATTGGATTGTGTCATCTTGCAACTTTATGTACTGCATGTACTTTTTAGGTGCACATTGTGACATTTTGTACTTTTTATAATAGATTTGTACATTGATTAGAATTCTTTTAGTTTGATAAATACAGAAGTGGGTGTTAGTTTGGCATAATTGTGGAATTTGGTGCCCTGAATATGTCATAATGTTCTTTTTAGATTTGTAAACATACAGAGTTAATGTGAAGTGCAGTACTTCAGTAAATCATGTTGGTCTGTTAACCTTGGAAACAATGTTGATGGAAGCTCTTATTCTATATTAAACATTGCCTGTATAATAAATCTTATTGAACTCAGTGAGTCTTTCAGGCATGCAATAGCTTGCCCTTCTTAGGGACTGGTGAGTATTATAATATGATTGGAATACCTGAAGTTAGTGAACCATACATAAAAAATACTGCAATAATATCCAATAGCTTGTTGCTCTATGGATGAAAGGATAGAATATAGCAAAGATAGGATAGGATAGGATAGGATAGGATAGGATAGGGTAGGGTAGGGTAGGGTAGGGTAGGGTAGGGTAGGGTAGGGTAGGGTAGGATAGCATAGCATAGCATAGCATAGCATAGCATAGCATAGCATAGCATAGCATAGCATAGCATAGCATAGCATAGCATAGCACAAATGTACTTTATGTATAATCAAGTACCTTAGAAGAGAAGGGCTAAAAAAGCTTTATTTATAAATAGATTTCACAAACTGCTTTATTAGTTGATCCAGTTTTATCCTTTTTTAATTTGATTGCATTTAATTTTGCAATTTAAGATAATTATCATTAAACCAGTTTCTTGGGAAGGACAAAAGATGGACAAAATTGCCAAATCCAGTTTAAACGTCTGGATGACTGTGACCAACCATAATATACTAGATTTATATTCTGTATGACTGCCAGCAATTCTGAGTTCTTTGTAAATTGTTAAAAACATTTCAGAGAAGAAAAGAACACAAAGCAAAAAAGAAATAAAAGTAACAGAAAGGTGTGTTTCCAGGGTCCAAATAGATAACATTGATCCAGTTGATGGAACCTGGGATAACCAGTTCTACTAGATTGGAAAATAGATTGACTCCTGCTTCTTTGTTGTGGCTCTGTTGCCTGAGCCTGGGCTATTGACAGATGCAGACCCTGAGAGTGAGGGAGAGGAGTTGGCAAGGCCTCCCTCTCCAGGATCCTCCTCTCTGGCAATGCCTCCGGAGGACACCGAAGGCCAGGAGATAGGCCCAGAGCCAAGCACGTCCCCGCAGCCACAGGTGGACAGCGACGAAGGAGATAAGTGCTGGCTGGATACTCGACAGCGGCGCAGGGAGAAGCACGCGCAGCAGAGGGGAAGGCATGCCAGAGATTAGCTAAATCACTGGACCACACCCCACAGGGTATAAATGTGGGTGTGGTGGCTGGTTCAGTTTGTGATGAGCAAAAAATAGAAATAATCCATGATCTCTGCATTACTGGACTTCTGCCTGCCTTGTCGGACTGCATTTGGACTAATCCTTGTATTGCTGAAACTTTGCCTGCTTCATCGGAATGCTTGCAGTCTAATCTTTGTTTTGTGTGAGTAAAGTCTGAATTGGCAGCTAGCCACTGGGTTGCTGCCAGCTTTATCTTCAAAGACTTTGTCGTGTGGCTTATTAACTCCGGGCCGTCTGTGAGGGTGCGTGTGTGGGACGGGGACAGAACATTCTTTGTGGCAAATCCTTAGTTATTGGAACACAGCTATCAGGACTAGGGGTGACATGATAGCAGTGTTCCAATATCCAAGGGGCTGCCACAAAGAAGAGGGAGTCAATCCAGGGGTGAAATGTTCCCGATTTGGACCGGCTCAGGCGAGTAGGTAGCGGTGGCGGCGGGCAGTTCGGAGAACCGGTAGCAAAAATCTCTGCCCCGCCCACATGCCCAGCTGAGCCGCGTGATCATCTTTTTTTCCCTTTTAAATGGCTCTGATGAGTCAAGCTCTGACGATCCCAGCTTGGATTGTCAGACCCATTTAAAATAAAAAAGTTTCTTTTTTTCTCCCCCCCACCCCCAGCCTCCAGCTTGCTTACTTTAGCTGCTGGTCGCAACACGCTTGCTGTAATACCTGCAATCCATTGCATCAGCAAGCAACTGAATCTCCCTGCCTGCAATCAAGCTCATCGGTGAGCAGCTCTATCTGCAACTTGTGGACTTCAACTCCCAGCAAAGCTGGCTGAGGAATTCTGGGAGTTGAAGTCCACAAGTCTTAAAGTTGCCAAGGTTGGAGATCCCTCTTCTATTGGAAAAGTTTTTTTCCCCTTTGGGAGCTTTAAAAAAAATAGTTAATTGGAGTTTTTTTTAGTTGTTCTTTTTTTAGACCTAGCCAGTTAAAGTTTAGGAAGTTTTAAATTTAGCTGCTTTTATATAAAAATAAAAATAAATTAAAATAAAATAATATTTGTGCAGCTTTCTGAGATTTAGTGTGTTTCTGTAGTGTTCCACTCTAACTACACAAACACACAAAATCTCACAAAGCTGTATGTGGAATTTTGGGTATGTGTAAAGTGTGAAAGTTGGTTTTTGTGGCTTTTTGTGGCTGTGTGAGGTTCCTGCTTGTTGCAGGGGCCATTTTGGGTCTAGCACAGCTGCTTTTACATTGTGGGTGAGCCAGTTGTGTTGTGTTGTGTTTTGTAGGTTAAAAAAGGGCAAAGAAGTGACATTGACTTGGTCACGCCCACCCAGTCACCTTAGTACCAAGCCCCACCCACTAATTAAGCCCCGCCCATAGAACTGGTAGCAAAAAAATTTAGATTTCACCCCTGAGTCAATCAATTCTCCAATGCACCTGAAGGCAGGACAAGAAGCAATAGACGGAAACTAATCAAGGGGAAGACCAACCTAGAACTAAGGAGAAATTTCCTTACAGAACAATTAATTAGTAGTACAACTTTTCTTCAGAAGTTGTGGGTGCTCCAACACCGGAGGTTTTAAAGAAGAGCTTGTTCAACCATTTGTCTGAAATGTTATAGGATTTCCTGCTTGAGCAGGGGATTGGATTAGAAGAACTCCAAGGTCCTTTCCAACTCTGTTATTTTGTTGTAGATCAGATTAGTCACGTTGATATTCTGAGAGATAGAAAGTCCCTCAGGGATATAGGACATACAGTATAGAAACAACCCAAACCTTGAATTGAACTCAGAAGAAAATTGGCAACCAGTGTAGCTCATAAAGCAGAGGTGTTACATGACTGTATGGAGGCATGCTTGTCAGTGCCATGCCATTGCTTTCAACACCATCTGAATCATTCAGATGGTCTTCCAAAAGGTTTTTTTTAATATGCAGTTTATTTTCTCTGCTTATAGAAGCAGTGTTTATCAACAAATTGAACTTTAATCAATCTAATTAATTTCATAATCCCTGTAAAATCATGGATTTTCATGATTCATGATTCATATTTTTATAGGGATTTTCAGCAAAACAATTTTTTAATCCTTCCAGTCAGTTTCTAATCAGGTTCATGATCCTTATCATACATGCTTAGAAACAGGAAGAATTGTACTTCTGAAAGAACAAAGATCAAGAGAAGTTAAGAGCAAGCCAACAAACAATAAAATGTGAGTCTCCCTCTTTCTGTTGCCTGTTTCCATCCAGACCTAATCTCATTTGTTTAATCTCTGAACTCTTCAGCAAGACAGCAACTAATCCTCTACAACTGTTGATGTATTAAAGTCTTGTCCTGAAGAAACAACCTATTATATACCTATTATTGGATAACTTGTTTTGCAATATCTTATAGGGAGACTTATAAACCGTGATGCTCTGGGCTGATTTTCATTTTTATTGTGATTTTCTTTTTTTAGAATGTGAAACCTATTGCTACCATATGTGATTCTGCGATTATTTTTTCAGAAGCAGGACAGATTTATCTTTTTTTTAAAGAAGCACAACTGTTATCTTTAGAGAAACAGCAGCCCTCACAATCCTAAATTGTGTATGACTGCCCTTTCTTCAACTTTTTAATATTCTCTGATGTCTATGGTGCTCTTGAAAACACTCTGTTTGCTTGTCACATTCAGTGGTCAAAGTTCCATCATGTTATTCTAATTCTTGTGCATGCAAATGTATGAATACATATTTGTGTGCATATTTATTTATTACACTGGCAAGAGATAATTGCTTTTCCACTAATTATTTCTTATTTTCATACTATAGCATTTTTTTCCATATTCATGTGTGCCCTATTGATTTCTGCCTCCTCCTCCTCCTCCTCTGTCTCCTTTGTGCCTTTTCCGTTCTCCTCCCTTCTTTTTTAAAGAATAATTCAAAAAAATCCCTCCTAAATGCGAAACCTTCCTTATATTTGGACTGACCTGGACAATAGCTATGATGACTAATTGCAAGGTTTCACCTGCTCACAATTAGAGCATTTAATATAACTGGAGCACCCAAACAACTGCAAGAAGCTATCCATTATTCCAAACATGCCTGATGTACAACAGGGACAAATAAAAATTCACTTCAGCATGTGAATGTTAATGGAAAAACTAAAGGAGGAAAACCAGATGGATAGACAGATTATATTGCAGCTAAAACTTCACTCTTTTCCAACAGTTTTTATCCCTTTTCTGTCTCTTTTTGTCCCCTTATTGGTGACAAAGTAAATGACTAATTTCTTCATATCAAAGCTTAAATAGCCATCTGCTGCATTGCACTGGGGGCACTGGAGCAAATTGCTTACCAACAAGTCATGCATTTTTCTCTGCCAATATATTTTTATTTTAAGAATATTTGTGATGGAATTCAGTTCAGATTCCCAGGAGACAAGTGCTGCATTCCATCACAGTATCTGAATTATTTTCTCCAACAAGAGAATTTTATGACAATGTAAATGATTTTTGATACTCCAACATAGTGCCCCCAATCCCCAGCCCAAATTTGCTCCAGAAGGATACCATGGTTGGTAGTTTTGAAAGACACTTGTAGAAAGAAGTGCTATACGGTCTACTAACCCCATTCAGATCATAAAAATTATGATCCACTGCTGGGATTAAAGTTACCATATGGACAATATAGCTATAGATATATACAAATATTTACCTATATACATACATCAATATAAATACATGTATTTATGTACCATTACCTATTCAGGTATTCCCCAACCTATATCGGTGCGTTGGTTTTTATTTTTCGAATAACCATATCACTTACCATGTTAAATAAAGTTCACTATTATTTTCAACATATTTCCCTTGCTTTTTACCATTGTTTTGAAGTATAGTTCTGTTTTCTGAGTTATTAATAGTTCTGTCCATTTAGTTTTGGCATCTGCAAATGACCTAGTTGTGTAGTCACTTAATTGAGAAATCATACAATCCAACTCACTGTTGCCTATTTTGTTAAGAAAAATATCATGGGATATTTTCATTTCAGTTTTGTTGAAATGATGAAATATGGCATTTAAAATGTTCCAGTAATTTGTGGAAGGAAGTTAGCAGATCAAATCTGGTAAAATATATTCCAGAAAAAATCCATGCTGACTTTACCACCTATCTGTTTTTTTTTAAAGCCCTTAAACTCTGTTTTGAAGTGTTCTACAATATATCAGGATGATCCATCTGTGCTTTTCTGGATCTTTCTTTCTCCTATCTTTTTGAAGATAGAGACAGAATGCTGCCCTGTAGTTATCTGGGACTTCACCTGTTTTTCCAGGATTAATTTGTATTTCAGCCATTCTCAAAAAAAAAAAAAAACTTGGGAGAAAAATTCTGCATTTGAGGTAGTTGTTATTGCTAGTGGGTATTTCAAACTTCAGACTAATTTATAGCTGTTTACATTGATCACAGTTTGGTACAATCACAATGCAATAGCATGCATTGCAATAGCCTTCCTCAGCTTGCTTTCCTTCAGATGTGACTTCTTCATTATTTTTAAATAGTTAGCACTGTATATGTAAGCAGATAGATGTGCCAGGAAGAAAAAGGGGTTGTTATCTGTTTCTTTTGCTTAATTTTATTTTAACCCCCCTTAAGATATGAATAAAAACAGTCCTGTGATATGTATTATTATCCTTCTACAGGTCCAGTGGAACGTGTCCACCTCAGTGTCCCTTTTGTGGCCATCAGAAATAAGGAAGTCAATCTCACGGCTGTAGTTTGGCCAAATCAGTCAGGCACCCTCACTTACTTCTGGTGGTTTGGCAACAATAGCAAGGTTTGTTCCATTTTTAGAAATATATTTATTTTCTATGGCAGGATTAACTATTGATTCATCTTGATTCTGAAAAGAGAATGCCACCTGGAACTGCAATAAAGCAGTATAATTTTCTATTACTGTCAAAACAGCTTCTTCGTTTTCCAAACTTTATTTCCTTTCTTTTCTCCCGCCCCCCTTTTTATCCTATCTCGTGCGGCTGTTTGCAGGAGTCTTTGCAATATGCAGTTGTCTGTTATTGGAACATTATGTTTAGAAGCTATTATTACTACTAGGATTCAAAATTATACCCCATTGTATACAGTGGATAATTCTGGGTTTCTGCTCAGCATTTAAAAATGGCTAGTGATCAACTAAACAGTGTTTCTAACAAGAGGGCTAGCTTGTGCATAGAATTTCAGAATCTGACTCATATTTTAAAGCCATTGGGAATCAAATCACTTTTGGACTCTGTGAATTCAAGCTAAACAACTCTGAACAACTCTGCACTTGTCTGCCCATGCTGTGTGTTCCTGTCTTTGGACACATGTCAGAGGTCTACATGAACGCTCCATGACAGTACTAGTTACATATACAATTATCAGCTAGTGTATTTCTGAAGCTAAATTTGAAAAAAAATAATGGTTTTGATGATTGCTTAGTTTGATACCCTTTGTAGATGATAAATGTATACTTCAGTAATATTGTTCAACAAATCCAAGATTTTTTTGGCTTATTTTTAATCACATGAATATACAGTTGTTTCAAGCTGCTCACTGAAGTTTTTTGGAACCCTAATAGGTTCTGAAATGTATACTAGACACCAGCTCCTATAAAATATTATTTGCCACCTACTGATCTTCCCATCCAATGAGATATATATTTTAAATTCAGACCCTTGCCTGAAAATACACTTGAGTCCAAGAATACTTCCTGAAATCTACTAAAATATGAAAGTCTATAGTACATGTTCAGGGAATTGATGGAAAAGAAGGCAAGGATTTCCTTGGCAGACTAAAACTGGAAAATTTAAAGAATCGTAGCAGTAATACCTAGTGATAAATACTACTGATCTTCTTCACAGCAAGCCAATTCACTAATTTTTCTGGGTCAATATTATCTGCAGTAACTGGCAACAATTCCTAGGAAATGAGAAAAATATTTCCCAGCTATATCTGGAAACGTTAGGTATTAGATCTATGAATCTAACATAGCAAAATGTATGTTGTGTAATTAAGTAAAGCCTCTTTTTAAATTATACTATAAAACTTGGAAGAATGCTAATTGCCTGGTTTTCCTATAGCAGACTAATCGTTTAAAAAGTTATAGCCATTGCAACATTTAAAAGAGCCACTCTGCCAGAATCATATTCTAAAATATCCTTTAAAAAATTCAAGCAACTGAAGGCTGAAAAATATTTCCAGCACTATTTGTAGTTCTTTAATTTGTTTTATTGGAGCTTCAGAAAGAAATGTAGAAACAAATGGATGTTATTTTCTGTTTACACCTGTTTTCAGTTTCTGAATTAATAATGGCCAGTCATTTACACATTTACATCACTCATGCATAATTGTTCAGTTCAAATGCTAACTTGGACTTCCAGAAGAAGCAAGATAGGACCAAAATTTGGCCAGTCTTATTTTATTACTTTTATCAGATCTCCAGGGACTTTTTCTTTGCCTCATCCAGTTTATCTGTTACTTTGGAAACCATGCTATATTGTGAAAACTATGACTGGTACCTTGTTGTTTTTGATTTGAAACCATCATCGTCTTCAGGTTGCAGAAACAAATCTTGTTGAATAAATATTCTCCTTTTTTGATCTTAGGAAGGGTTTCATGTGTTTCATCCTTCATGAATGTCCATTTCCACAAATTCATGGTATGCAGATAGACATTGTCATTATAGATAGGCATTCTGGTTGTCCCAAATATGCTTTCTTTCCCATAGATATTAAATGACTGTTATTTTCTCAAACATTGTCACCTATTTACACATTAAGTAATTTTAATTACATCAGCGCCCATTTTTGACATATGGCAACAATTTTGTACAAGTACATTTAACCTTCAAGTGGCAATGCTGGTTCAGAGTATGCTATTGCTTGCTTTTTATAGTGTTTTCAGAATCTTTTCAGTTTTGGTGTTCCCTAAAATTTGGTACCCTTAGCCAGTGCCATTTGGCCCTTAGCCGAAAGCCAGCCCTGTATCTATCATTTTCTTCAGTGGGCATAGGAGTGTTTTCAGATTATTTTAAACATAAATTTGTATGGACAATTGGTGTATAAGTTTATCAGGCAAAGGGAAACGGAAGGTCAAACCTAATGTGTGTGTGTGGTTTTTTTTTAAGTTCCAAATGGATATTTCTTTAGCATTATTGTTTCAGTATCTGGGAAGCAAAGTTTGTATCTGTAATTTAAATTTTAACTATGCATCACCAATGAACATCAAATTGTGAATCCAAAATATCACCAGAATAGGGGACAATGTACAGCTGGAAGAATATTTGGTTTTGCAAAATGATGATAATCATAGGATGATAGAACTAAAAACTAAATAGACCTGCCATAAAGCCAGCCTGTTTCATAATTTCCCACTGATAAAAATCTATTTATTCACAACATGGATTTAAAACAGCTGCAGAAGAACTGCTGTTCTCCCTTGGCTTTGGTGCTTTGTTGACTCTTCAGGGGTCCGCTAGTTGTTATCACTCTCTGACTTCTATTTATGCACTCTCTACAAGCAAATTACTTTAGGGACTATTGTCTCGAGTGCCAGGAGCTCATGAGATTTAGAGAAGGATCTCAAAGTTCTTTATATGAACTCCAATAATCTGCAGAAAAATACTATTGGTAAAAAGAAGGAACCCACCCACTTTATGTAAATATCCTTGTTTAAAACAAAATGCAAAATAGTTTCTGCACATTGTATGAGCACATTGGAAATTCTAATTGCAGGGCTGGAGATCTTTGTCTGCAGACTGATTGCAAACCAGCAATGCAATTAACCAAGTACAAACAACATTGTGAGTTTTAAACTTTGTGGTTTCTTTGTATTATAAAAAAATCATGCTGATAAAAAAAAATGTAAGTCATTGGAAATAATGCCAGTTTTCTGAGTTTGTTTTACCATTCAGACTGGCAAAATATTATATTTTTGCTTTACATACAAATGTTAAGGTTGCAGACAAGTAATCTCTCATTTCACCAGTCACTTTGATGTTTTCAAAGAATATGGGATGCATTTCATCAAGTTCTGCCTTTGAGGTGCAGTGGCTCAGCAGTAATAACGCTGGACTTGTTGGCTGGAAAGTCAGCAATCCAGGTTCAAGAACCCGGGTGCCATATGACAGGATGACCTCATGTCCTTGCCAACCTAGAAGTTCCAACATATGCATATGCAAGTAGATAAATGGGTACCACTGGTGGGTAGGTAACAGTGCTCTGTGACATCATACTAGCCACATGACCATGGAAATGTCTTTGGACGCACTGACTCAAGGGCCTTGAAATGGACATGAGCATCAACCCCATAGCTGGCAACAACTAGCAGAGTAAAATCTGAAGGGATTTTTTTTTACCTGCCTTTGAGAAAGGGCTCACTTCACATATCAGAAATAGTTGTGTACTTGATTTTTCTTTGTCTTTCTTTTTCTCTTCCACTTAATCAGTTTCATTCTTAGAAGCTCCTGAATGTTTTTTGCTTCCTGTTGTTTTCTCAGCAAGGTTTCTCAGAACTGATTTGTCCTTGCCTCCTTCCTAGGGCTAAGAGACACTGACTGGCCCAAGGTAACCCAGCTGGCTTTGTGCCCAAGGCAAGACTAGAACTCATGATCTTCTGGTTTCTACCCTTTTTCTTTAACAACCACACCAATCTGGCTCTCCATTACAATTTACCATGTATCTAAAAGGCTGTATTCTTCCCTTCTTGCTATCTGGATAACCAATGGTAAACTAAGAATAATCCATCATACAGCACAAAACCCCCATGATACATAACAAACTCCAGACTGAATAGTAGTAAAAGCAGTCAGGAAAAAAAAAAAACTGGACCAATTATTCCTTATCTTGCCACTTTCTAACTGAAGACACTGTATTGTTCAACCTTCTTTGGATTAGTGTAGTTCAGTCAGTTTCTGATTCAACTAAAGCCATGAAGTGAGAGGTGCAAACGAGATTTTAATCTCTGTTTAGCTTCATTGAACCATCCTATATTAAAAGTATCTGTGTAATTATACAGTACAATTTCAGACAATGATTTTATTTACTCATTCATTTATTTAAATAGGATTGTTGTAGTGAAGTGATAGTCCACTATTTCAGCAATATACCAAAAGGCTAATTTGCTTGGACTAGCATCACCTCAATTTAATAAATGAATCTGATATCTAATAGGCTTTGAACAAATGAACCTTAAACTCCTTGATTTAATTTAGAGCTAGTTTCCAGATCTCAGTGCTAAAATTAAATTGAAGGAACTACCAGAATGTTAAATTTCTATGATGAATGTGAAATCAGCCATGATAATGGAACAACTATCAAGAAGGTAGATTTTTCAAAAGAAACTGGATTTTTTTGGTAGCATCACAAATAATATTATAGCACACAAACACAGAGCCAGGCAAGTTCTATTTTAGGAATTCTGAGGATATAAGCAGAGAAGCGTGAGAGAAGTTTACCTAGAGTTTACCTTACAGGAGAGGGGCAGCTATCAAGCCCTATTCTTACATTACATACCTAAAAAGATGAGAGTTCAACTTTATTTATTTATTTTATTTTATATTGGATTTCTATACCGCCCTTCTCCCTGAGGACTCAGGGCGGTGTACAGCCAGATTAAAAAACATGCAGAACAAATATTAAAAACAATTAAAAGATATATAAATTTGGCCCAATTAAAACTCATTTACCAATTAAAACGTTTAAAACATTTAAAAACAGTTAAAAATTTCATCTTAAGCCAGCCCGGCTTGTTTAAATAAATGGGTTTTAAGGGCGCGACGGAAGGCACTGAGGTTTGGATTCTCCTTATCTCTGGGGGGAGCTGATTCCAGAGGGTAGGTGCCCCCACAGAGAAGGCTCTCCCCCTGGGGGTCACCAGCCTACATTGTCTGGCTGATGGCACCCCGAGGAGGCCCTCTCTGTGGGAGCACACGGGTCGATGGGAGGTCGTTGGTAGCAGCAGGCGGTCTCGAAGATAGCTAGGCCCTATGCCATGGAGTGCTTTAAAGGTGATAACCAACACCTTGAAGCGCACCCGGAAGACAACTGGGAGCCAGTGCAGCTCGCGCAGGAGCGGTGTTACATGGGAGCGCCATGCTGCTCCCGTCACTACCCGCGCTGCTGCGTTCTGGACCAGCTGGAGCCTCCGGGTGCTCCTCAAGGGGAGCCCCATGTAGAGAGCGTTGCAATAGTCAAGGCTAGAGGTGACGAGGGCGTGAGTGACTGTGCACAGGGAATCCCGATCAAGAAAGGGCCGCAACTGGCGAATCAGGTGAACCTGACAAAAGGTCCCCCTGGTTACAGCCGTCAGATGTTCCTCCAAGGACAGCTGCATATCCAGGAGGACTCCCAGATTGCGAGCCCTCTCTGTGGGGGCCAATGACTCGCCCCCAATAGTCAGTGATGGAGTCAACTGACTATATCGGGATGCCGGGAGCCACAGCCACTCAGTCTTGGAAGGGTTGAGCTTGAGCCTGTTCCTCCCCATCCAGATCCGTACAGCCTCCAGGCACTGCATGGGTATCACTTCAACTCAGCTTCCTGAGCCCATCTCATCTACAGACACCTCTGTCACAGTTCTATATAGTATTCATTCCTTTTACATGTAAAGAGATTGCAATGGGTGACCATTGCAGTTATACAAATACTCCTATGGAAATCTCACACTTCACAGCATCCTTCACAATGGGCTATGAAGAATAATTGGTAATCACCCTGCAATTGTACAATCATTACTGCTAGTGAACAATTGCTGTATTTTTTTTTTCCAAGGGGAAGATCTCATATTGCCTTGACAATGGATTTACTTGGAATGGAAAGAAAAAGATAGAACATTTCTTTAGCTGGCTCATTCTAAAATATTGTATCCTGGCCAGATTAGCTTTCTACAGATGCCAATTTCTGTAGAAATGGATGCAGCTATCAATCACCACTGATTTGTTCTATTATAAAAGCAATGTGATGCAGAAGATTGCCTAAGCCAGTTTTAGCTATCTTAGATACTGGTCTCATTTGTACTGCTTCCCCCTCAAAAATACAGATTTAATGATATATCCACATTTGTATTCGTGATTTTTGTCTCACAATTCTGAAATTTTGGGGACAATAGCTAATGAAATGACTATGAATAAATTAATGAATTGTTGCTAATCGCATGTCACTTTTACAGCCATTCATCACCTTGGATAGCAGCATCTCTTATATCTTTACCAGTGAAGGACTGAATACTATCACAGTGCAGGTCTCAGCTGGCAACATCCTTATCCAGGACACCAGAAACATTGCTGTGCATGGTGAGTTGACAAAAGGCAATTGAAGAGGTTTGCATACCTGCTTTCCTCAAATCTAAGTTTAGAAATGTAAGATTTAACAAAGAGGTCTAAATTATACTTTCAAGGTAGCATTAAAACATATTTGGTAATAATTGTTTATGGAAAGAGATATGAGAAAGAAGGAAGGAAGTAGCACTCAGACTCACTACATCTTTCAGAAATACTTCAAAACAAATTATTTTAATGATTGGATAGTATAGTATCATAATAAGATCATAGTCATAGCCATGAATCTATCTTGCTTTACTGGGGAAAATCACCTTGAAAATTAGCTTTTGGCTTCCTGAATATAAAACCAATCCATCTTTTAAGTTATACAGTACTAGGAATATTTGAAGCAGTGTACAAGACATATGCTTGTCTTAATCATGCCATCTTTTATTTCTGGTTTTGTTGGAAATAAAATCTTAAACTTCGAAATTGAATGAATGATGATGTGAATTATTTCTGCTAACAGTTATCGAAGCACATTCTGTAAATCAGAGGCATTTGCAGAATGGATCAAGGGAAGGTAGATAACAAAAGCAGCCATTGTATGCAAGTTATGCCCCTTTTATATGTAGGTTGGGATATCAGAAATATGAAGGAAAGTGGTAGAGTTTGTATCATAATGTGATACTATTTTTGTGATTTGACCAGTAGAACCACCCTCTACATATATTTCTGAATCTATCATATGTGCCACATTATTTGGAGCACATGGGTGTTTTTGAACGGAGGTGCAATCACAATGTATCATCATAAAAGGACACTGATGCTTTTGATGGTTTTTGGAAGTAAAAATTATGAAAATTCACCACATTTAGAATGTGGCAACCCCAAATTACTTGATAAAGTTCAGGGCATAAATCAAGTTAGGCATATATAAGGAGTTAATAGTATGGAAAAACTGCACATAAAAATATTTTTCATTCCAATAGAAACTCTAGATCAAATGTTCATGCTGTGCTGTTTTATAAAAGATTCACTTTTGAAGGCTGGAATATACAAGCTGAGCTGGAACTGTGTTTAGTATGAGTGCATTTCATACATTCATATACATGAACACACACACACTTGTACAAATATACACAGATATAAAGTATATTTATGCATATACATACAGATAATACATACTCACTTTGCATTTTAAGGTCATTTTTCATCAGCTTGAAAGATTTTTAAAAGTTTCTTTGAAAAGAAAAAAAAATATAAAACTTACATGAGTGAAGGACAGTGTTATGGTACTTACTTTAATCAAGGTTGCTAATGAATAGAGTTGAGTGTTCTGTATTTCATTGTCCATTTTTTCAGCTGTCTGTAATCTTCAAGTTTTATTAAATTCTAAAAGACGACATTCTGCAGACAGTCCATGGATTTTTATTTATTTATTTATTTATTAGATTCAGAAGTTAGGAAGGATGCAGAGTGACAGAAAGACGTATTATAGAAAATAGTAGTAGCACTAACACAGCATCTTCTGACACTTCTGAACAATAAAGAAAGCTCAGAGATATAACCCAAATAAATAATAAAGAATCCTACGTAGGAGGTATAGAAACTGAGTACTCCTGGGAAGAACGCTTTTAGGAAATTGTGTATCAGTGGGAAAGCTTTGAGAACCAGTTTGGCACAATGGTTAAAGCACCAGGCTAAAAAACAGAGGACCAGGAGTTCTACTCCCACCTTAGGCATGAAGTCAACTTGGTGACCTTGGCCCAATCATGCATTCACAGGTACATGCAGACACACAAAGGAGATTTTTACATTACGTTCCTGATATCAAGTAAACAATTGGACTTGAACTATGGACTTGATATATGCCACTATACAGAGAATATTCTGATGATGAAAGTTTGATGTAAGGATTCTTTTCACATTTCTACTTCTGAATAAATGTATCAATTTACTTTTTAATGAATTGGATATTGTTGGCACGGATAGCTAAAAATAATATGCACTACATTATATTGCATATATTTCTGTTTATGTGTATTAGTCTAATGTGATCAAACATTTTCCTTTCTGCAGTGAGGCACAATTCACTACTATATGCATTAAGTTACCTTTTGCTCCCATCCCCCTCAGCACTTAGAATTGATAAATATAGGGCATGCTATATCTGAGCAATTTAAGGGATATGCACTATATCACAGGCTAAGTACATTTGGCGCATATCTTCGAGAGAAATTAAATTTCATTTCTATCTCATGATTAAAATTACTTATTTAAATATAATTAAACTGATTTATTCACCAGCTATTTATGTAATAGTTTACTTTGTTTGTCCTGTTAAAACATTCAATTTGGTGATAAGTCTTTGGGACCTGTACTCAAAGTTTGGAGTACTTGGAGGTCCCAGTCTTGGGTTTTGCTTCTCTGAACTAAGTCATTAGTATCAGGTCAGGCCATAGAATCAGTGCTTCTAAAGTCCAAATTAGGTTAACATGAAAACATAAAAATATCTTCAAAAATGAAGAAAGACAGTAAACTATTGGAAAAAAATAGAAGATGATGAGCAAGAGCAGAACTATCAGCAAAGATGAAAAATAAACCAAACAAATAAGGCAAGAAGCTTACTAAAAGCCAAAGAAACCTTTTGTCAGAGAAATGGTCCATTTATGAGACATAAAACTTGTCTACCACTTAAATTAACCTTCCTCTACCGCAATGATTTAATTTGGGAGTGATTTCTTCATGTCTCATGAACTGCTGTACCCTGATTTACCCTCACTACCTTAATCTGATTTGTTCTGCATTATGTAGTCATGGCAGCACATAAGGCTAACAAACAGATATCTCTTTGCTTTTGGAAAACAGATTACTAGTACTAAGGATGTGCTCAGTGAAGCACAAAGCATGTCAGATACAATAGAAGAAAACACTAGTTTATGGAACTGCTGCTCATTTTACTCTTGGTCCTGTTTAATTGCGGAACAATATTGATGAAACCAAAACAGTTTAGAATGCTAGCCAAGTGACAAATGTCAAACAAAGGATTTATACCATTAGCTGATTAACTTCCTGATTTCTATTTCTACCTTCCTTTTAGTTTCTTAGCGAAATTATTTTTTTAAAAGAACTTCTGTCAATTTATGTCTATCATTTAAGTTTTAGATTTGTTTTTCTTTTTCTCTCTTTTTCAATTGACTCCCTCTCAGAATCCTCCTGGGATAGGGGTTCAAGGTACCCCAAAACTTTTGTTTCCATACCAAGTGCCTCACAAAACAGCCTGAAACCATTTTACGTTGCATTCACGTATGCTGCTATTAAAATGCAGAAAACCCACAAGGATGATCATGATCCAGTTTCCGCTCATTTTCCAATGGAATTGTTTGGAGAGAGCAAACAATATCATTTGAGCATTATAGGAAAGTATGCAAGGGTAAACCACTAGTTTTCCTGACCACTTTCCTCTATTGGTTTAAAAATCCTATGAGTTTTGAAAATGAGATGTTAGCATGTTGACAATTTAGACAAGTAGTATTCTTGCAACAGTGGTCTCTGCATTTTTGCCTGTAGTTGTGACAGTTGGATTGGATGATCAGAAATAAATTCTAGCTCACTCATACAAGAGGACATAAGTTGTAGGAACAGTAGGGGAGGGAATAGCAGCAATGGCTTCACCTGAAGCTGGGACCTGAAATGAGGTGAGAGCCTATCCATAGAAAAATGGATCATCAATCACATTTGTAAAATTGCATCAAGAAAATGAAACAGGAACAGAGCTGGAAACAAGGGGACCCAACTCCAAAGCAAACAACATTGTGAGATTAGTCAAATCCAGAGGTGAAGTCCAAGTGAAGTTCAAAAAACTAATGTTAAAATGCCTGTATTTATTTATGAATATTATTCATCACTACTTTTTTTTGTATGGAATGTGATTAAAATTCTTTTGTTTGAAAGAAGTTGAAATTCTTGAAAGAAGTTGAAATTGTGAGTTTATGTATAAATGATTTTTATACTGAATAGAATCTTCTTTTCTATATATGGAGAACATATAGAGACATAATTCACCTGAAACTTAAAGGGAGATCAGATACATTTTTATTAAATACATAATAATTTATATTGTATAAATTACACAATATAAATTATATGTATTATGTGGATGCTTGATATACTGGAAACAACTTTCAGCATCAGAGAAAAATGGCAAATTTCTCTAGAGCAAGAATGATTTTGAGAATTCTGCAGTACTTATATATACGTGTATGTTTATCTATGTACACAGAAACATACAAGATATTTGATATCTTTTGCATTTCTGAGAATATATGGTTCTATAGCGTTTTTTTGAGTTATATGTAGAACTTTGTTGTATGACTTTATAATGAATGCATTTTAACAGTTCCAATGTAAACAGCCATAATAGTTCATACTGAAATTTTCTGTGACACTCTTTCTTTGTAGAATATTTTCAATCTCAATTATTATCGTTCTCACCCAATTTGGATTATCACAATCCTGATATCCCAGAGTGGAGAGAAGACATTGGCCGAGTCATCAAAGCAGCTTTGGTGCATGTGAGTACCTAGGGAAATCTACCAAATAATAAGCATAATTTTCTTAAAGTTTGAACAGTCTGTAGAAGCACAATTCAGGAAAAGAGATTATAATTTTCAATTACATACCACAACTTTGATAAAGCTAGGCTTATCATTCTGATACACACATGCAATTACCTAGATAAATATTGTATAGCAGTTTTCAGCACCCAACAAACCCAGACTTGGTTTTTTTTTTAAAGGATGTTTGTTTTGTTCTGCTTTTTAATTGTTTTCTTGGTATTAGAATGTTTTGCAGTCCTTGAAGTGTTATCTGTGCAACCTTTGATGATAAGAAGATACAATCATTTTTGTAGATAAAATATTAGGAGGGATTAATTATAATATACCATTTTCCCAGTGAATCCAGTGAATCCATGATTCTTGAGTCTGTGCTTGTATGTTTATTATTCAAGATGGATATATTATCTGTCTTCATGATCAATGCAGTTTAATTGACTCACACAATGATGCTATCTTTATGTTCATTTTTTATTCATTTCCATAATTATGTTCTATGTTTTCCACCTTAGCAAATATTATAGAAATGCTGCAGTATAAGATGTCTGTTTTAATTCATCAGAGATAAATTCATTGATTTTTAAAAAGTATGACCCCTTTCATTATTTTTTGCAATTATTATGCAGACTTTTAATAAACAAATAAATATTATATTGTACCTAATCATCCACATGATTTTTTAAAAATTTACTCTGCTCTTCTACTTAAAAGATATACAATAAATCCTGTTTAAAAAGTTCAGTGTTGCAAAAGAAGATAAAGAAAAAGCATTCTCTGGCTTTTCCCAACAGAAAATAGAGCAGCTTTGAAAACTACTTTTTTTTCTTGCTACATTACAAAAGAATATGAAAGAGCATTTCTTTTTGTAAACTTGTTTCTGTTGTTTTAGAAACATATGCCTCCAGTGTACTGATCAAAGCTTTCCACAACCATAACCTCAGCCATAAGGCAATAAACATTTTTTTCCTCATGTCACCTTTGCCAGAATAAACAGCTGATCATGTGTGAGGATAAGTCCCAGGGAAAGAGAGATCTGTGTGGAAATTATCAATACCCAAAAATTATCCTAAACCAAGACTTCTTATTTTTACCCTTCTTTGATTTCTGGGCTCCCTCCAGTTTCTGTCACCATATCAAAATCAAGATTTACTGTTTCTATAGCCAGGTCACAAATTTCACATTCTTCTTCTTAGCCCGGTGTGTTGTGGTGACTGAGATCTAACTTGCTTAGAAATCCTATCTTAGGCTACTATGAACATCTTACTCAGTGGTGGGATTCAGCCAGTTCGCACCACTTTCTGAGCAGTTTGACAAACTGGTTGTTGAAAGAAATCATTAGGGCAGAGAACCGGTTGTTAAATTACTTGAATCCCACCACTGATCTTGCTCTCTATTTTTTCTTCATACTCTTTCAAAACATAAGAACCTGGTTATGAAGCGGGGCAGGACAGATATGTTAGTGGTTGACTTCTGTGGCTGATATCAAAGCTGTTATTGCGAAGCAGACAGCTCAACCTTGATTTTTTAAAATGTTTTCAACAGTATACTGTGTCCTAGATTTATTCAGTGTGTTCTTCAAACCCACTTGATACTTCTTTTTAAGGCAAATTACGAAATGATTGACAGCCATATTAAAATATAAAACAGAATGAAATATAATTCTCATGTACAATGTAAATCTATACTAGAAAATTCCTGTTCTCCTAAGAATTAGATAATCAAAATAAAAAGAGAAAAATTATGAATTCTATTTATTAAAGAGAGATTATTATCATATTTCCTTTTAAGAGAACTGATTTTTGCAGTCAATAAACACTTTTGTGAACATTTGTACTTTCTCTTTTAATAGTTATATATAGCTGAAGCCATGCATTTTGATGTATTAAAAAAAATCAGAAATTTGCATGGATTATAATTAGGATTCTGTTTAATGAGTTTCAGATCATTCTATCATTAGAATAACATTTATTATGTGAGAGAGACAGAAGGGAGGAGAGAGGGAAGAAGGAAGAGAGAGAGAAAGTCACACAGACAGACAGACAGACAACAAGGCATCAAGGGTTGAAATATATCAATGGAATTTATATCTTTTTCAATCCAGTATGGATTAGGCCTGATTAGCATGACTATATTTGATAGAGATAGGTATACGATAGATAGGCAGGCAGGCAGGATAGATAATCACAAAAAATATAGTCTTCCAAAATTCTTATTCTCTCCTACCACTTTTTCTAAACTTGGAAAGAGCTTTAGGGAATTGCAGTTTCAGAGAATTGCAGTTTGCAAACTACCATGAGCAGAGCAAGATGCTAATATTGTTTGAATTCCTAATTTTAGCTTCAAAAGGAGTGTTTTGTGTGACTGAAATAGTTTTATCAAATCCAAAGCTGGAAAGAAGGGATACATTGTTGAGGTACACTACTGAGACAGTTGTGAGCCCATTACATGTGCAGTAATGTTATTTGGCCTAAAAACGGATCTAGAATATTCACTAATTCAGAATATTTTATAGCACTAACCTGTCAGATATAGTTTAAATTATTGATTCAATTTATTCCAAGTAAAATAAAAGAATAGTATTCAATACACATTTACGTGTAGATCTAGTCAAATAGTTAGTATTTTTATTAACATTAATGTATTCTATTGTTTTGGAGATGTATTTTATATATAGAACTATTACATTAAATGTAAATTGTTGAATGAAATGAAGTTCATAAATTGTTGAATGAAATGAATACAACTCTATTAGTACAATAAAAAGGGATTTTTAAAAAAATCTACAAACATATATTGTTATGCATTCCCTTGTTGTATCAAGTACTAAGTTATGTTAGAAAGACCATTTACAGTATCTGTGATACTCTTTTAATAAAACAAATGTATACACTGAGAATGACTTGGGAAAAACAACACTTAAAAAAAAACAGATTCCTGTGCTTTAAAAAAATATTATTTTAAAACTTTTATCTCCTCATGCAGTCTGGACAGATCATTGTTCAGCAGTCTCCACAGCCATATGCTTTCCATAAAGCAATGTGGAAGGATTCATCCTTAGCATGAGTTTGGGAAATAGATGATGTATGGCAATACAATATGACTTACTTATTGAACAACTTGTGACTTAGTACTTGCACTTCACTATTAATTTGCATACATGCATTTGCAATCAGAGTAGAAACATGTCCCCTTTTTAATCTAATATTATAACCTTTTCTACATTATTTATCCGCTGTTTCTCAAAAAGTGGAATGATTTGGTACTCTTAACATTGCTAAGTTAAGGAACATTAAGATATCATTCTATCCTCCCAACTTATCATGCACAAGTCTTCCAAGATCATATAGCAAAATCACATCATTATTTGCATAACTTATGATTGTCATTACATAACATTACACATTATAGAGCAAGAATTCTGAAATTATTTCAAATATGAAAATATTTGAACGTCTGCTTTTAGGCAATGTTTACCCACTATAAATACACTAGGTGTATATTTGGCTCACAACTTCATTTTTTTCTGCCATTGTTTAGAGTTTGCTGAGAGTCAAATAACTTACAAACTATGGATATAGCAATATCATGTACTAAAGAATCCTCTGTTTGTCTTTTTCTCTCTCTCACTTTGCTCAGGTGACTGGTATACCCAAGGAACAAATTCTTGTAGCAGTATTCCCTGGATTGCCTACCTCTGCTGAGCTCTTCATTTTACCACATCAAAACATATCAGAGAGAAGGAAAGACAGTGAAGATGATTTGGAACAGGTGGGGTTTTCCTTCTTTCAGGTGGTTATGTATTCCTCCAACTCTTAAATAGGCTCTGAACTGAAGATAATTTCAAAGTACTATTATCTAGGGCAGGGTTCCTCAGCCATGGCCATTCGAAGATGTGTGGACTTCAATTCTCAGAAGCATCACTGGCTGGAAAATTATGGGAATTGAAATCCACACATCTTCAATTGGCCAAAATTGAGAAATACTGTTTTAGAATGTTTAAGCTTGTCAAACTTTCTGTATAAATATTGATTTTTGTCTTTAAACTGGTGATTGACAGCCACCCAAAAAGGGAAATCATTAAGTAGATTTTTTGAGTATATGATTTCTTTTTCTTTTATTTTATTTTTGAAATATTTATTTTTGAAGGGTTGACTTATTAAAACAATTTATAAAACATTTTGATAGACATGTCATGAGATGTGAAATATGAGTTTGTAATAAATTAAAACACAGTACTTTAAAACCTGGATCTAAGAATTTAAGTCAACCTAAAAATATAGTATAACACAAAAACATGCAGTAGAAGTAATAAAAATTGATATGACAGCAAAAAAAACAAAACAAAAAACCAAACTAAAGTACATAATGAGATAGCATACTTTTGTTCTGCAAATATTTTTTTTTTTTGTCCCTTTGGTTTTTACTCTTAGGTCCTACAGATTTCTTGGTAAGATTTCAGAAGTGATTTGCCATTGCCTACTTCCTAGAGTTGAGAAAAGGTTACTCACACAAGGTCACTTAGCTGGCTTTGTGCCTAAGGCAGGACTAAAAGTCATGGATTCCCAGTTTTTAGCCTGATGCCTTAATCACTGCACTAAATTGGGTCTCTCTGCAAAGATAGTACTAAGTAAATAGAAAGTTACTAAACAGATTTATTAAAGAGATTGGAAGGAGAAAAAAATAATAAACGCTTGGGGAAAAGAAATCCAATGCCATACTTGCATAAATGAAAGTACTAGGAGATAGGGACTATAGAGGAGTGTCAAACTGGTGGCTTGCAAGCCTGATGCATCGTGTGTAGGCCACCCCCACTCCAGTTCCGTGAATGGGAAAAACGTCATGAAATGTCATGTGACAACAATGTGACACGACTAATTAAAGAGAATTGATTGTTGTATCCTACGCCATATGCCTTGGATATGGCTTGTATCAATCTGAGGACAAGGATTTTTGCATCATATGTTTGCTCCATCCTACTTTGCATCAGATGCAAATTACTTCATCATGATTCCAAACTCTTGATCATTTTTTTCTGGTTTTAATTCTTCAGTTTTGTACATACAGACTATTAATACAAAGCGCATCAAAAAACAGCATGTGGTTTAGATGATAACTTCAATGCCCTTTCTGCATTGAATTTTGATTACAATCTCTTGCTCTACTGGAAGCAAATTTTCTTGAACTCAAATAAGCATACTTTTCAGTAGATGCGTATAAAGTTACACTATTAATCAACATGAACCTGATTAGATAGGCAGTAGCTAAATCACAGTGCAAAAGAAATCCTAAAGCAATACACAACCAATTCAAGATTGCTTTTTGAGTTGCAACAAAACATTCAAGTTCTTTTTATACCATATCAATGGACTGTGTGGGATAGAAGACAAATGGTAATAGCTGTAGAAAGCAGTATGTATAGTAATGCTGTAATTCCCCTGAGTCAGGAACTGGCTGCACTTTTGATTAAATTTGAATGAGAATTCTTCTGGCAGTTAATTTTTTCAGGGAGCTGAGGCTGAGGCTAGGTAGGGCAGTGACCAGTGGTGAAATCTTTTGAAGTCTGCTACTGGCTCTGTGAGTCTGCTACCGAGAGAGTGCTTTGTGTGCACATGCATGCATGCTTTGCACATATGTGTGCCTGAGGCATGCCCATGCAGCACTAAAAAAAGGAACATTTTGAAGCCTTCCAAGTCTGCAAAGATAAGTAGAACAGCAAGGGGGGAAATCTGCTGTCCCACACATTTTAGATTAGCTAGAAAGCAGGAAATCCGACGATTCTAGCTAATATAAATAACACGCTACAACTGATCATCACCCAGCTGATCATTGGAAATACCGGTTTGCCCAAACCGGTAGCATTTTTTTAATTACAAGTTTGGGAAAACCGGTCTGAACCGGTAGCATTTTATGCCTGAGAATGACACAAAGTGGTTGTGGACTCATGATAAAATAGGGATGCTAAAGTTTTCCTTTTTGCCCACACTAAAAGTTTGTGTGGCCTGAAAAGTACGCTTATCTTGTTTCAAGAAAAATTACTTCCAGATGAGCAAGAGATTATAATCAGTTTCCTTTTTGCTTAATACTAAAATTTCATGTTTATTTATTTGTTTTTTTTCCCTTTACCAAAATAGTAGAAAGTGTTTCAATTGATTTCCAACAATCATGATCAGTGAGTAGCAATGAAAGGGGTTATCCAACTGTGGATTAAATAAAAGCTCTCTTGCTGTTTGCTCAATAATTTTTTTCTAAAACCCAACCATTTTTTGCCTATATAACTCTATTACTTAGCCAATTTGAAAGGAGCTGCAGTTATTTAACTTCCTTCCATTTTCCCCCTTTCTTTCTTTTTCTCCTTTCCCTTTTAATCATGCTTTGAATTCTTTGAAATATACTGTAGAACACCGTCATAGTATACAACTGCTTTTGTCCTTTCTATAGACAAATATAATTTTATCAAATTGATTTTCACTCTTCCAGCGAATTTCTGAAATTCGAACTGTATCAATATTCTTTTCTGTTATCAGGCAATTACTGTAATTAATATAATCAAAATGTAATGGAAAATACTGTATTTTGAATAATTATGTAGAATACAATATTTCAGCAGGTGCAGTTTTTCCAGTCTTTGTATGTTGCATTTAGCTTATACCTGTCAAAATCTTTCTTCCAGAAAACAATTGAATGCATAGGGCACTTTAATTTTTATAATATTTTCTTGCTTTACACACTAGTGCTGATAGCATGCTAAATAGGCATGGATGTCTGACAATCCATAGCATATATATTACAATTGTTCACAGAAATGTTGAGTTGAAAGATTTCAAATGAAAACTTACGATAAAGTGAAATGGATGTGATTTGGGAAGAGGGAGCTTTTGTTTCATAATGTTTTCATTCTACTACCAAAGTCATTGCAGAAGAAACCGAGTTCCCTTTTGGCAGCTGCCATTTCTCTGACACACAGTTGTCAAAGAAATAATGCTGTGTTATAATTTAGCAAAATTTAAATGTAGCTTTAGGAACATTTTCACATTATGTCTTCATATTATGCCTTAACCCCTGCTTTACAGTGGTTAAGATGCCCTTGACCCCTTAAGAAGGCTATTAAATTTCTGTCATTTAGTTAGGTGAACCCACCGGACCTAATGGGTAATTCAAAAGTTATAACTTACCAAAATCCCTGTTGACAAATTCATACTTTTCTGTAGAATTTTTAGCTCTCTGTAAAATGATTGGGCATTGATCTTTTTTTTTTTAATTTGATTTATATGCCGTCCTTCTCCGGAGACTCAGGGCATCTTACAATGTGCTCAGCAATAGCCTTCATCCTTTTGTATATTTATACAAAGTCAGCTTATTGCCCCCACAACTGGGTCCTCAATTTACCTACCTTAGAAAGGATGGAAGGCTGAGTCAACCTTGAGCCTTGGCGAGATTCGAACCTGCAGTAATTGCAGGCAGCTGGTCTTAATAACAGGGTGCCTTAGACCACTGTACTACCAAGGATCTTAGGTTTTTCTGAAAGCAAAATCAAGCACAACAAGCCATATTCTTTTGTGTGTCTGTGTGTGTGTCTCTCTGTGTGTGTGTGTGTGCATATGTGCATGCGCACAGACACACGTGTAAGTAAGCATCCATGAGTGGAGAAAAAGAGAGGGAGTTGGAACTAAATCTGCTGCAGCTCTAGTTTTTCCAAATGCAATCTTAAAAATATATTTCTGTGACTGATAAATAATGTAACAGCAATAACTTAGTAATTAAAAAATGCAATGTAATTGCTATGAAAGGCATTTTTCTGCCACTTCACTCTCAATTCCAATGGCGTTACTTCCAGAAGTTTTTTCCCCCCTCTTCTTCATATTTTGGAATTAGTCTGACACACAAAAGGATTCTTTTTATGTGTGATTGATATAATAATTCAGATTTTAAAAAGAACTAATATGTGGTGAATTACTTTGCTGTTAATACACATATGCCAGTGAGAATTATTATTAATTGCTGTTGTTTATCAATATTTAACTGTGTTTTCTTTTACTCTTCCTCAGGCTGTTGAAATCCTCTTCAGTGCTTTAAATCAGAACCTGGTTCAATTTGAGTTGAAGCCTGGTATGGAAATAATTGTTTACGTCACTCAGTTAACATTAGGTAAGTTGGCACAGGAGAAAAGATCTAGGGAACACAATGTAATATCTTCTGATCAGCTTATATTTTTCTGGAAGGAAAATAAACATTAAAGAAAGCTATCATATTGATCCCAGGCATTGTTCTTGGATAAATTGGTACTGCACTTTTAGCAAACATTCAGAAAAGTTTGTTAGATATTCTGGGAGCTGTCCAGATACTTCTTAATGGTACTAGGTGAGTGAAAGCCGATCTAAGTAGGATCCATTTAAATATATTTCAGTTGAAAGAAAATGGAAAGAGAGGTGCTTGAGAAACCCCTACTCATAAAACTAGGTTTAATTGGGGGATAAAACAACTGAGATACCCAATTCAAAGAGAGGAAGACTTATTTTTGAAAATAAGTTAATCTGGTAATGATTGATGTTCAGTAGGAATGAAATAGTCTATTTAGATTTATAAAAACATAACTATGGCATATAAAAAGAGATTTGTTTCTCCAGTTCTCTGTCCTTCAATTAAAGCCTAGCCATACTTTTATTTTTATAACCTAGTTCAAGAAGAAGAGAAAACACTCGAATTTTATTTGGTTTTCTTCCTGTAAGAAGCAATCATGACAACTAAGAGTTTTTAAAAAGAAAATATAAAGTTTTCTTCAAGTAGATCTCAACTCCTGGTGACTTCATATTAAAATTAAGGGGTGGGGGTGATAGGAAGTGATTAGTTCTTGGCTAAACTGGCTTTTCAAAACTAAAGGGATAGTTGATAATTGAAAGCAATTCTCTTTCATCAAATTGATGAAAAGAAAAGAATGAAGGATTTGTTTTCTGCATAACATTAAAAACTACAGCCAACATTAAAATAAAGACATGTCTGAAAAGGATTGACTTGAGTCTTTTGCAAACACTGTTCCCGATTAGCAGCTGTCTCCAGCATAGTTATAATATATCAAATGGAGAACACCAAACAGGGAGCAGATACAAAAAAAGCATATGGTATGAATGAAATGGTTTAGTTACTAGGCAACCTGTGTTTCTTTTTCATTATGGAGCTACTTGGAACCTTGAGGGTTCCAAGGGAGTAGTACTGATACCTCTGACTACAGCACAGAAACAAAGAGACACATACAAATACACTCACACACATCTTGTTAATGATAGTAACCTAGCAGCAGCAAAGGCATGAGACTGATACATCCTGCCATCTATTCATTTAATGACTTCAGCTTATGTATAATATGATCTTTTTCTACCCCTCAGCACCTCTTGTTGATTCTGGTGCTGGACACAGCAGCTCTGCAATGCTGATGTTGCTCTCAGTGGTCTTTGTTGGCTTGGCTGTTTTTTTAATCTACAAGTTTAAAAGGTATGTTGGTATTCCTTTCTGCTATTCATGGAAAATCCGCTAAAACAAAGCAAAGCAAAACAAAACAAAACAAAACAAAACAAAACAACGCAGCTGGCTTTCCTATAAATCGGTTTAAGAATTCAGGAAAATATGGGAAAGAGGATTGAAGATACTTTACTCAAGAAAGGGAAGCAAAGTTGAGTTCAAGGCATTCATTAAAAGTATGGGCATCAGTCTGTATACTGAGATAATGAACATTTGACTTCACTAACCCTATAAACTTAGGAAACAATAATGTACACATTCTGAACTAATTGTTCAAGCCATTATCAGTGGAGACAATTTTCCTCAGTTCATAGAGTTATGCTGAAGAAAATTGCCTCTTTTCAATATAAGGACAATAATGAGTGCCAACTTCAAGGAGATAAGCATTTTTGCAGTTTTTCTTGCCTTCTTCCGATACAGTAGGAAAATACTGTTTATTACTAACCAATAAAGCTGGTTGTGCCTCTGATTAGTAGCTGCTGCTCATTTAGTCCTTGGTCACCATTTCATTATTAGTACCCCTAATTTTCATATGTACATAATGGAAATTAGTAATAATAAGTTTAAACGCATAAACTTCTAAATGTATAAATTTCATTCGGTGGTTTCTGTCATCATAGATTTAACTGGTATATAGGTTACTGAATACCCAGAGTCCAAGAATTAGCATATAAAATATAAGTAGCTGAGCCATTTATACAGAGCATTATTATAAATTTGGAAAGACATGGTAAGAGTTGAACTTGTTTTTAACCCCTCTGGGTCATACACAGTTATGTCCATTAGCTAATGGATTGGATTTTCTATTGACATCAAACACTTCTCTTTTTCCAGCCTGCTCTGCAAATGAGGAAGATATATTTATATTGCACAAGCAGAAGTCAGTTCACATAACATTGCATACATTTTCTAAGACTGCTTTTATCTACATTTCCCTGGTTTTGTAGTGTTGTTTATTTAAAAAACAGTTATATTTTTTTATATATATATTGTCTCTTAGGATTTATATACATTTTGTAGTTGGCTAAAAATCAATGTTATTACTGATTTGTTGTTATCATTACCTACATCTCAATATCCTGCCCACTAAAATGAAAGAAGGTCAATGCAGCTGATTGCTTTTTTCATTGAAATATCTGTCAACAAGGAACTGGATTCTGTCTGTTATTAAAAGCAGCACATTTTTTGCTTGCTGAAAGCATGATGGATTGATTGATAACTGGATTGACTCCAGAATTGCCATTTCAGGAATCTTCAAGTAAAGATAGTAGAAGTATTTGTGTACGTGCATACAGATTTTATATCTAACCATTGTTTATGAATATTTAGGGGAAAGCATGTAAATTGCAATATTTTATTCATTGAATCAAATCAATAATAATAATAATAATAATAATAATAATAATAATAATAATAATAATAATAATAATAATAATAATAACTTTATTTCTATACCGCCCTTCTCCCGAAAGACTCAGGGCGGTATACAGCCTATTTAAAAACACAAGACAAACATCAATTTAAAATTTAAAATTATTAAATAAATTTGGCTCCATTTAAAACCCCAGAAATTTAAAATACCCAATTTAAAATTATCATGTCGATAGCCCGGCCTGGCGGAACAACAGGGTCTTCAGTGCACAGCGAAATACCCTGAGGTCGGGGATCTTACGTATTTCCGAGGGCAGTTCATTCCACAGGGCTGGGGCTCCCACAGAGAAGGCTCTCCCCCTGGGTGTTGCCAGCCGACATAACTTGGCCGATGGCACCCTGAGGAGACCCCCTCTGTGGGAGCGAACTGGCCGGTGGGAGGCTATTGGTGGCAGAAGTCGGTCTCCTATGCCATGGAGCGCTTTAAAGGTGGTAACCAGCACTTTGAATCGCACCCGGAAGACCACTGGGAGCCAGTGCAGCTCGCGCAGGAGGGGTGTCACATGAGCACAACGAGTTGCGCACTTAACCACCCACGCGGCCGCATTCTGGACCAGTTAGAGCCTCCGAGTGCTCTTCAAGGGGAGCCCCATGTAGAGAGCATTACAATAGTCCAGCCGGGAGGTGACAAGGGCGTCAGTGACCGTGCGCAAGGCGTCCCGGTCCAGAAAGGGCTGCAACTGGTGAATCAGGTGAACCTGATAAAAGGCCCCCCTGGCCATGGCCGTCATATGCTCTTCTAAAGACAGCCATGCATCCAGGAGGACAGATTGCGAGCCCTCTCTGTGGGGGGCAAAGATTCACCCCCAATAGTCAGCGATGGCACCTGCTGACTATATCGGGACGCTGGAAACCACAGCCACTCAGTCTTGGAGGGGTTGAATCTGAGCCTGTTCCTCCCCATCCAGACCTGCACAGCCTCCAGGCAGCGAGACATCACATTAAGGGCATCGTTGGGGTGGTCTGGGATGGAGATGTACAGCTGAGTATCATCAGCGTACAGATGACACTTCACCCCAAAACCACGGATGATCTCACCCAGCGGCTTCACATAAATGTTGAACAGAAGGGACGAGAGGACTGACCCTTGCAGCACTCCCCATGCGAGATGCCTTGAGGTCGACCTCTGCCCCCCTGCCAACACAAACTGTGAGTGGTCGGAGAGGAAGGAGGAGAACCACCGCAAAACGGTGCCCCCTATTCCTAACCCCCTCAACCACTGCAGCATGATACCATGGTCGATGGTATCAAAAGCCGCTGAGAGATCTAATAGGACTAGGACAGAGGAGCAACTCCTGTCCCGAGCCCTCCAGAGATCATCCACCAATGCGACCAATGCCGTTTCTGTGCTGTACCCCTGCCTGAAGCCCGACTGGCACGGGTCCAGATAGATAGCTTCATCCAGGTGTCAGGGAAGCTGTCGTGTCACCACGCTCTCAACAACCTTCGCCACAAAACGAAGGTTGGAGACCGAATGGTAGTTGGCTAATTCAGCCAGGTCCAGGGAAGGCTTCTTGAGGAGGGGCCTCACCACCGCCTCTTTCAAGGCGGCAGGAAAGGCACCCTCACTCAAAGAAGCAGTTATAATCCCCTGGAGCCAGCCTCGTGTAACTTCCTGGGAGGCCAGTACCAATCAGGAGGGACACGGGTCCAATAAACATGTGGTGGCACTAATCTTACCCACAACCCTGTCCACATCCTCGGGAGTCACAGGATCAAACTCCTCCCAGATAATATTCTCAAGACCTACCCTTGTCTCCTCCCCTGGACTCATCCAATCGGAGTCCAAGCCATCCCGAATCTGAGCGACTTTATCATGCAGGAATTGCACAAAATCCTCAGCACGACTCTGCAAGGGATCTTCCCGCACTCCCCCCTGAAGAAGGGAGTGGGTCACCCTAAACAGGGCGGCTGGGTGGTTCTCTGCAGAAGCGATAAGAGTGGAAAAAAGGTTAGATTTTGCCGCTTTTATTGCCACTAGGTAGGTCTTGATATAAGACCACACCTGTGTCCAGTCGGAATCGGGTTGACTAGTCCTCCAAATGCTGTCTAGGCGTCTTTTCCGACGCATTATCTCTCTCAGCTCCTCAGAGAACCAACGAGCCAATTGAGATCGGCATCGGGTCAGAGGCTGCAAAGGCACAATGCGATCCAAAGCTCCAGCGGCCGCATTCTCCCAGGTGGCCACCAGCTCTTCAGTCGAGTCGTGTGTCAGAGTCTCAGGAAATGACCCAAGCTCCGTCAGGAACCTTTCGGGATCCATCAGGTGCCTGGGACGGAACCATCTGGTCGGTTCCGTCTCCCTGCGGCAGGGGGAAGCGGTAGGAAAGTCCAAGTGAAGGAGTGAATGATCTGTCCATGACAAGGGCTTAATGTCTAGGTCCCCTCTACCAAGATCATTCAACCACTGACCAGAGACAAAAATCAAGTCCAGAGTGTGTCCCCCTATGTGAGTGGGGCCTTGAACTAACTGGGTCAGGTCCATGGCCGTCATGGAAGCCATGAACTCCGAGCTACCTCTGACGCCTCACCCGCGGATGGAAGGTTGAAATCCCCCATGACAATAAGTCTGGGGGTATCAACCGCCACCCCGGCAATGATGTCGAGTAGCTCAGGCAGGGTCGCTGCCACGTGGCAGGGAGCCAGGTACGTAGTCAGCAAACCCATCTGCACCCCACGGCCCCACTTCACAAAAAGGGACTCACATCCGGCTATCTGAGGAACAGTGGTCTCCCTCGGATAAAGACTTTCCCTAATAATCATCGCCACTCCTCCATCCCTCCCCTGGGCCCTTGGCTGATGAAATGCACGGAAACCTGGTGGGCACATTTCGATGAGGAGGACCCCCCTCTCTTGGCCCAACCAATTATAGCTACATTCTGAGTTTCTTAGGAAAATATTAGTTTCATACCTATTTTCAAGTATTTTCCAGGATGAAACAATAATACACTTAACACTTCAGTAGGTCAGTAAGCCAAAATGCCAGGGAACAGACATTATTATCTTAGTTATGAAAAATGAACTTGCAGAAGGTTATTACATCTGGCTGCAACTTTACAAGGATCTGCCACATTTGAAATAATGAAGTTATTCATCACAGACCTAACCACATTTTTTATTTTTATCATAATGATTCATGCCATCAATAACAGTCTTTACAATGAAGATAATGGGGCTTCACACAGTCTTTCTATATTGTTTCTATTTAATTATATGATACAATGATAGTTTGCTTATTCATTCATAGTACATGTCTAATGGGTAAAATGTTTCATAACTCTTTGTCATTGTTAGATTAGATTGTTAGATCTATTGCTAACTTACAAATAAACTCTAACCCTACGCCTAGTCAATGAATAGTGGCTGGATACCCTTCCTGAACTCCATGGAGTTCTCAGCAGATATTTTTTCATTGCACCATAAGAGAGAAACTTCTGCCACTATCTCGGATTAAACTTTCAACCTTCCGAAACCACGGCCACCCTTGAGCAAGAACATTAAAGATGGATGTAATATATTTCAATGGGTTTTTTTAAAAACTA